TATGTATAGGAAAAATATATTGTTGTAATGTGAGAAATATCATGTATTATCCTTATATGTATGCTATCGCTGTCATGAATTGATGAAGTTAACATAATAGTTTTCAACGAGGAGATATTATGTTGAGATATAGGTAATATATTGAATTTGAGATTTTGAAAGAGATATCATAACTCGACTGATATTGGAGAGAAAAATATCACGTTGTGAGAGTTGAAGGAAGTCTCCACGACTTAGCTTGTGGTGTGAAAAAAAATTGTATCTAATAAGTCATAGAGATTTACCTTGTCACATGAGGGAACGTGTTCTAATTATGCACCTATGTTAAAGATATCAATTTAGGGAAGATAGTGTGAAAAATGCAAATCTCTTAGTCTAATTCAATGCATGAGAATCTTCTAAAAGTAGAATCAAGTGTATATGATTATAAGAGTCAGTATATAATGACACGAGATGTAGCTTATATGTTGAGACGTTGATCCCTTGAGTTGTTGTATAGTCGTGGTACTTGATTTATTTATTCAGATATGAATGTAGAGAATATAAGCTTGTATGGGCGTGTGATGAAATATATGAAAACTTGAAGTTGAATTATATTGTGTTTATCTCAGATTGGAATCTTACATACTTAAATTGAATTACTAGTTTACTCTATGTGTTTTTTAACTGTAATGATCGTGTATTTACATGTGGGCAAATTTTTTAAGTAATAGACCTTAGTAGGAGTAAGTCTGTAGTTAAGAGTAGTATAAATTTATATTTTGTTTACTTTTGAAATGATATATATGTATGTATATATTTCTCTATGCAGAAAAAATTTATATTTTAAAATTACTTTGTGCATCTCAACTTTTATTTTTATATATATATATATATATATATATATATATATATATATATATATATATATATATATAAAGTATATGTATAATTATGGTTTTTTTACAATTGATGATATCATATCTGATTTAATTTAGATTATAAATATTTTAGTATAACCCAATTTATTTTTTGAATCTTTTGGACCATCTTATCGATTAAATTTATGTTATATTGATAAAAATATTTTTAATATTAATATATATATATATATATAATAATAATAATAATAATAATAATAATAATAATAATGTATAATAAATATATTTAATTATTCATTAATAAATATGAAAATATAAGGAAAAAAATAAATAAGAGATTTTTTTTTCAAGCAAATACAAAAAAACACACTTCAAACTTACTATTATTTTATTTATTACAGTATTCTTATTCTTATATTAATATCTTATTACAAAGATTATTATATCCAAACTCAACATAAATTATCATTACTTATTCTTGTATTTCTAGTAAGAATAATGTTATTATGGTTTATTTATTGATATGTCAGATTATTATGAATGTTTTTATTTTCATAAAAAACGCTACTTCGTTCTCTTACTTCAAATCAACATAAAATCCTTTTATACAAATATAATTTTTCTATTCAATTTTTTGCACTATGAAATTTTCTTATACAATGAAACCCTTAATTCAAACAAGGGCTAAAGAAATGTATATCTTCTATCATGATATACATGTAAAGTGTATATTAACCAAGGATATAACTTGTGCATTTCTAGACGTTATATAATGTATTTCTGTATGATCTCTACCCTACAAGCATGGTTCATTTTCAAATTCATTCTCGCAATCAACACCATTTGCAAGGTGAGGAAAAAAAGAAGAAGAGAGTATCATTAGCTTTTGTAAACACGCTACACATTGTAAGGTTTATGTTGCAGTGATTTGAAAAAAAATAAAAAAAATCTATAAACACGAAATCAAATAAAAAAGACGTAGTGAAAATTTAATAATAACTAAATATTTTCAATATTTGATAATTTAGAAGATAAAATTATTATAAACACATTTCATGCATGCCTTTATGAATTACATGGTCGCATAAATTTGTAAAAAAAGAATAAACAAGAAGAATAAACAATTTTGAATAAAAATTACAATATATTTAAAATGTCATCATAAATCAAAACTCCGTTGTCGTCCAGTGGTTAGGATATCTGGCTTTCACCCAGGAGACCCGGGTTCAATTCCCGGCAACGGAAAATTTTAAAATTGACTCTCTGAATTTTATCTATTGATTATTTCACTACTTAAATTATTTTTTAATAAATTTAAAGATATAATATTTCAAAAATAATAAAGCTAAATCTTTTAAAAAAATAATATATGTTTTGTATTTTCTTTTTTAATTGTTTTAAATGAGACAAAGTATAACATTATTTAGTTAAATGTATGAGTGTGTTAAGGTAGAGAAGCTCCATGTATCCTTGTCACATGCTCCAAAGTTCTACAAATGTCAAAATGTGACTCTTCTTAATAAAGATGTTGCAACTCATCAAATGTACACCAGAAGAAAATTGAATACAAATCTAATGAGAGCATCGTTTTTGTTGACTTTTAATAACTCAACAGACTTATAGTATTTGGGGTGAACATAATGTTTAAATAAGTAAAAGTGTAAGAGATGATACATTACATAAAATAATGGTGTTCTCTTCAACATAAGCACACAATAAAAAATAGCTTTGGATGGAAATAACATGCATCTAGAGGGGTGCTATCTAGAAATTAGCAGCAAATTCTATGGAACAATATGTTTTTTTCATCAATTGTATACAATACTTCAAACTGAGAAACTTAGTTATAAATGCTAGAATTCATCCTCTATTCAACCATCAAAACTTTTTTTAAATGATATTCTTTGCACAATATTTATTTTAATATTCTCGTTTTAAATTTTCATGATAATATCACCAATAATCATTTTTTCCATTAAAAACATCTTCATAAATAAAAAGTATTTATAAATTATTATTAATTTAAATTTTAAATGATGTAAGACTTAAAAATATAAAAAATAATAATAAAATATAAAATTGTATGATTAATCAACATAAAATTATTATAATTAGATATTTTAATTAATAGTAATTTTTTAAATTTATTTTAAAAATATTATACCATGAATAAAAAATTTATATAATTAAATATATATTCTATAAAAAATACAATATAAAAAATATTTATAATTAAAAAAATTAATAAATTGATTCGGTAGGCAACAATTTGTCCTTTAATAAAGACGGGCCTATTAACTCTTAAGCGTCAATCCCTTTTTGACGGGCTATAACATATTAATATAACAAAATAATGATTTCTAATATATTAATTAACGTGAAAATCATTAATATATTATTTATTATTTAAGTGCCAAGAATTTTACTGTTTTGAAAATTAGATTCGATACAATATGTTGAACCGAATATTAGATTAAAAACCAGTAAATTATTTTAAAATAATCGAAATATAATTAAACTAAGATAAAATTGGTAGAATTTGATGATCGTGTTGGTAAAAAAAAATTAACATCAATTTTTTATAAAAATATAATATATTTTAATTTATTTTCATCTCATTAATTATATTAATTTTAAATAATAATTTTTTTAATCTTATTTTAATAATTATTCATTTTATATTCTTTTATATATTTATATTTATAATTTTTATTATAATATGAAAATAACTTTTATTATCTTTATTTTAAAAAACATTAATATTGATAAATTTATTATATTATAAAAGTATTGTTTTCTTAAATTTGGTTGGATTTCATTTAAATCAAATTAAAATTTTAAACTTTTAATATATATCTTCATCTATTAAATGGTTTGTTTGATTTTAAAAATATTAATCATATAACACTGTCATCCACTAAAAAAGAAATATGGTTGCATCCATTATTTCAATGTTCGGTGTCATTTACTTTTTACCTATGAATTGTTATGTCATGAAATTAATATTAACATATTTTTTAAATAATATTATATTTTACACATGATTTAATTATAATTTAATGGATATATTCAAATAATAAATATTTAACTTAATTAGTTTAATCTAAGACATTCCGTTATATATTTACTAATTATATCATTAATTTTCAGTTTTTTTAAATACGTTTTAATAATACTTTTTAACTTTTTAATTCATTATGTAAAATATTTAGAATTTCAATCTTTTAAATTTAATATTTTAAAATAAACCTTTAATATCTTGATTAAAATCTTACGTTAACAACAAATTAAAATATTAAAAATCATTATTAATAAAAAATTATCAATATTATAATTTTTTATTTTAACAAATAATATTAATTTTATTGTAAAATAATAATTATTTAAGTCTAATATCTCAAACTTTATTTCAAATTGAAAATTAAAAAACGTAAGAATAAAATCTAGCATAGAATTCGAAATCTTGGGAATACTAATTCCGACTTTTCGGTATGAGCTTGACACTGTCTACAACCAGAATTCGATCCTCAAAAATTCTGGCTTTCAACATGAAACATTTGGATAATTATTTGGTAATTTCTTTTGGGTGGGATTTATCTCTACTTGTACCCCTCTGTAGGGAGAAAATTGATCGATGCTTCAATGGTGTGAACCTCTTATCTCTTATGTGCCAATATACCGTGCCATGTTTTATTTACTAAATTGGGTGGTTTCTGTGCCTGCAGATTTTTAGTTAAAAGTGTCACCATGTCGAGAGCATCTTGGAATGTTAGATGAAACTTTTGAGAATCCAGAGAAATTGAAGCGTGTTGGGAAAAGTCAATGAAACTGCTAACAATTATTGGAGAATATTCGCCTGCGAAGATATTTACTTCTTCAGTGAGAGAGATTTAGGATGAATCTGCTGAAGATGATTTTTTCTTGAAGAAAATAGAAAGCATCATGCTGAATGAAATGACTTCAAAAGGTATATATACCACACCAGACATCAACAAGGTTTTCTACAAAAATTACCTTGGCTAGGTTCGGAAGTTTGATGAGAATGAATATCTTAATCCTTAGGAGGAAAGAAAAAGAAAGTAAAAGAAAGTGGCAAAGTATTTCCCCTTGTGAACTTGGTCATTTGCATTCATATATGTATCAGACAACAAAGCCAATTTGTTTAAGTTTGTTTTCTATCAGATTCACAAGCCTTGCATCAACAAAACTTGAAAGCAAAGCAAGGATCTTCTTGTGGAAAACTTCATATGTAAAATTTAGATCATTACATACCAGCTATATGGAAAGAAGAAAACCATATCAGCATCTCTTCAGTGAACATTTCAGCACGATGAGACTTCTCCTCGGCTCCCAATGAGAAACGGCAGAGTGGACATGTTTTGTGGTGACCCTTAAGCCATCTATTTACACAAATCTTGTGGAATTTGTGAGAGCAAGGAAGGACACGGATTTCATCTCTGGCCTTCAACCTTGACAAGCACACACAACACCAGCAATCCTCACTGAAATTGGATGCTGCTGCAGATTCAGATGACTGCTGCTTGTTCCTTTGTGTGAGAATCATGTAAGAAGGTAAAGGGTCATCATTGTTCCTTTGTCCCTCAGGTAGGCCAATTAAATTGATGACAAGTGAGACCAAGCCTTTGAGAGTCATCAGATTTACTTTACTGGTGGGGAAGCATGTCAATTAGATCCTTAAGAAGAAAAAGAGTAGCAACTAATGGTCACACTGTCACAATTATAGTTCTCATTTAGTCATAGATGTTTTGCTTGGTTTGAAAGGGTGGTTAGATAAGGTTTGTGTGACAGTTTCAATCGTCCAAACACAAAAGCGGTTACACCAACATAAGAGTGTTACACTTGACCTAGATACCTCATTTCTTTGAGGGAGAATAATACTATAATCTGTCAGATTCCTAACTCCAGTGTAACACCTAGTGTCTTGCACTATGCGTTTGATCATGCTTTTTTAACTTAGTTTTTCTTATTCCTCACTGTTTCCTACTTTATCTATTATTTTTTCTCCATTTTTTGTTGTCCTTTTCATACATTTGGGATGGCGTTCAGGGAAGGCATCATTAGGTTGTCATGCTGAATGGAGAAATAGAGGTATTTTGAGACCCCTAGCTCGTAGGACACTCACGCTGAATATTTTCACCAAATCTTATACTCGTCTTAGTCAATGAAAACTCATACTCTCGCTACTGTGTCCAGCCCACGTTTGGCATCGACAACCACATTCATTGCAAACGTAAGGATCCTACACAACGAGCTTTACCCTATCTTCTAGATGCTTTCAAAGGAATGAATGAAAATAGAAATACAAATTTTTTATACATATTAAAAAAAATAGAAATTAAAAATACTTTTGATGTAATATATTTCTTTCTTTCAACTCTCCTTTCTAATTCATGAAAATAAGAAAAGAGAAAATTTTCTTATTTTGTCTTTTTATTTTTATCAATCAAAATAGTAATTATTTTCTACTCTATTTTTTTTTTTTTTTGTATATTGAGTACTCTTTTTTCTCTTCCTTTTTTTTCACTCATAATGTAAATATTTTTTTTGCCCAGGTGTAGTTTTAATATGTAGGTTTTTATTTAGAAGAATGAAACTCTTGAACATTACAAGTTATCTGTCCCCATCAAAATATCGTAGTGTTTAGAAGGAACCACGGCAATGAAACAGTTACTTAAGAACATCATAAAGCAAATTTAAGAAACAAATGTTTGAACGGACACAACACATATTGTCTGTCTTTTATCCGATGTAAGCAGCAGAATGCTTGGAGTCTTGCGATTTAGACATAGGCAAAAACTTAAAAACTATACGTTGCTGTGCATGCACATATTGTTGCACGAGGGTATACATAATAAAAAATATATATATAAATTTAATAAATTTCTTCTATATTTATTTCTTTCTCTTCTTTCTTTCTCTTTTTGCACATAGATTTGAATTATTGAGATATAAATTGTTATCATAACGGCTATCTAATGTTATCTAAAATATATTGAGACTAATAAACATATTAAACTGTAACACTCATAAACATATCAAAATATATCCATATCATATCATGATCGTAGCAAAAATTCCTAGACTGCCATATCAGAGCTGCATCACCAAAGATCCTTTAGACCTAGAAATTTCTAAATGTTATTACAAAAATTTATTATAATGAACTACAGTTTTATATTTACATTGGAGACAAGTCAAGCCACCCCTCATTACTATTATTATTATTATTATTATTATTATTATTATTATTATTATTATTATTATTATTATTATTATTATTATTATAAGAATAATTTTTTTCATGAAAATCTGATACATAGGTAGTAGACATCAAAGAAAAAAATTTGAAAGTACTCACTATTTCCATGTCTCAACAGATTACTTAGCTTGATTGTATATTACTAAAGCAACACCATGGATCAGGGTTCATCTTTATTTAAGTTACTAAAGCAACAGAATAAACAATCCTCTTATCACTTCCATAGAGGTTAGTATCCTCAACACTTGTAATCGAACAAAAAATATATAACTTATTCTGTACCAAGTTGTATATACTAAATTTCACAGGAGTGATAATAAATCACGAATCATGCGATTAGAAATCTCTGGGAGATACAAATCAACTATTCAAACAGTGAAAGGAAAGGGGAAAGTTGAGAGATTTATTTGTTCAAATTCAATTCATTGAAGGAAAAGAAGAGAAACACGAATCTTCCCCCGAAGTGTAAACAGTGTATATTATTTCTCCCACTCAACATTCCACTGACAGAGGGTCACAGATAGTTGATCATCATAGAAAGAACAACAGCAACCAACCTCAGAAATTGAAATCCAAACAGATCATCTTAGGCACTTCTTCCTAGATTCTCTTCATTCACAGCTGATAAATTGGAATCATTCTCAGGTTTTGATGCATCTTCTTCCTCAAGTATCTTCCCATCTCTTGGAACCAAGCATGGTATCCCATTTTTTATCTAAAAGGTATAAAGAGAAAAGAACATATCTACATGAGTCATGTCATCACTCATCATTAAATAATTTGCACATTATGAGGGGTAATTTTTCCCTGTAATAAACATTTCAACACAAACATTTTATAATTTTTCAAAATTCATAATTTTACAGAAGAACAAACTACAAAATCATAAATGTTGGAAAATGGGACCTATGCAGTAACCCTTGCAGAGACAATTAGGATTTCAGCAACAAAAACACCATTGCTAGCGGACAAGGAACAGTAAAATTCCCCAAATGGAAAGGGGAAACAAAACAGGGCAACTGAAAATGAAAATTGAAAGGAAATAGAAGAAGGGAATTAGAACCGACGGGGAAGGCAACACCAATAGCATCACTGATAAAGGAATTTGATTCCTCGCAATACCTACAACAACAAGGAGAGATCATTAGTGAAAAAAAATAAAAAATTGATGATAATAAAATTGAGAGGGGAAACCTCAAAGGTTGCTTAGAGAGAGGGCAAACGAGGATGTCGGATAGGGTTTTGGCTGCTTTTTGCAGAACATCTTTGCTTCCTCTCACCATTTCCTTTCAACCTCACTCCTTCACCGACCCCTCTCAAATCATTTTATTAAATTACAAAATGGCCCTCTGATGAATTTTCTTTTTTGTAGATCCGAGGCACCATCATCCTAAAATATATTATATGAATTAACTCTCCTGAATAATAATAATAATAATAATTTTCCTTAATATATTTCTCTAGATTTTTTGTGTCACTATTTCCTCTTTTTTCTCAATTACTTAGAAAATTATGACTGTTTCAATATGTAATGTAAGGTAACTTTACAATAATATCTACTAAAGTAATATTATTTGGTATCAAACATTTTTCATTTTAACCTCATTAAGAACATTTTTAATTTGGTTTAACCATCTTTAACTTATATTCTGAAAAAATACCTTCTACTTTCACCGTTATATCTCATGATTATAATTTTCTTTTAAAGTTCAACATAATAAACAAAAAAATTAACTTCACCTTCTGTAAATATCTTTAACTTAACATTTATGAAATTATCCAACTTAACTTTTAGCATGGTCATCTTTAGTTCAAATTAAATTAAGACATCTTTAACATAGATTTATTTTTAATATAATTTTAGTTAAATTATTTTTAACTAAATTATGATAATGTTATTAACATTATTATTATTATTATTATTATTATTATTATTATTATTATTAATCTTTGTAACAAACCCAAAAATAATTATATTATTCAACTAAATATAAATGTAATATTAGTTAATATTTGCACGTTTATATTTTATTTTTAAAAATAATTATTTTTTATATGAAATATATATATATATATATATATAAATTTTATAAATAGATGTCTATTTTATTTTTTATTAAAGTTTAACACCGACATTATTTACTTTAATATAAATGCACCATGAGGATAAACTAATAATTAAAAATAAATAATATAAAATAATTTCAATAATCAATAAAATTAAATATAATCCTAATTCATATTTACACATCATATTATATTCACGTAAGAATATTTCTTTTGTACTCATTGTTATAATATATATATATATATATATATATATATATATATATATATATATATAATTTATTTCTAAAATAAAATATTTTTAACTCAATTTTAATAAAAAAAATTTTAACTTGCCCTAAACAAAAAATTATTCAACTGAAAAAAAAACTTTAACTTAGTCTTAAAAAAAAATTTAAAAAAAATTTATTAATTTTAAATATATAAAATAGTAGTTTTTCATTAAGAAATAAAAATTTGAATCAGTCAATAAAAATAAAAAAGATGTTGTTGACATTCAATTTTTAACAAAATATACTTCTTAAAAAAAACTTAGATTTGACCTAAACTAGTACGATAGTGACATACGCATGTGTTGTTAGAGTTTTCAAAATGATTTACTAAATATTTGAATTATTACATATTTTTCATTTTAATGTAGAATTAAATTAATAATATAAATAAATTTATATTATCATTAAATGTTTATTTGGACAAATTTTAACATAAAAAATTGAAAGATAAAAAAATATAAATTAAGATTAGTTTATACATAAATTATTTACAAAGAAAATTATAGTTTATAATTTTTTATTTCTAATTTTATATAAATTAAGATATTTATTTTTCATTTTTGTCTTTTTAAAGGTTGTTAATGAGAATAATTTGGATTCATTATATAAAATAAATCTATTAATTTTTTTAATAATTAAATACACAAAAAAAAGTCAAGCGAATATAGTTTATTTTTTCATTGGTAGTAGATAAAAAATAAATTCCATTTAATTATAGTTTGTTTTAACATGTTTAATTTAAAAAGAAAGGAAAGATTAATAATATATGTGATCCCTAAGAGCATGGTTTGTGGTGTGCTTGGGTTAAACGCAGCGTTTAGTGTTTGCATCGTGCGCAACACAAGGCACGCACTGTGGTCTCCACTCCACTGAACAGAGGGAGGTGGGAAGAGAGGCATGTTGGTCGTCAATGGCGAGTAAGCTCTCTGCATCAGAAAATAACTGTGAAATCCAACCTCCAAATGAATGGCTAGAGTCTCCACGCGACAATGGTTCCCATTCCGAAGCACCTTTCTCACGCGCCCCATCACCACCACTACGCACACTTCACCTTCTTCGCTCCCTGAAGCAAAAAAACAAGGATTTTTCCTCTTCTCTCAATTCGAAACGCTTCTTCGAAACTTGTGCCGAAGCGCTCGCCACCTCCTTCAAATCCAAGCCCTCCTCGTCACTACCAGCCTCTTCCGCAACCCCTTCTTGGCACGCACCGTTTTGAGCCGGGCCTCCCACTTATGCGACGTCGCTTACACCTTATTGATCTTTCGCCACATTAACTCCTCCGACACCTTCTGCGTCAACACCGTGATCCAAGCTTATTGTAATAGTGATGTTCCTCATCAATCTGTTGTCTTTTACTTTCGCTCTTTGATGTGTGGATTCTTTCCGAATAGCTACACCTTTGTTCCACTCGTTGGCTCTTGTGCGAAGATGGGTTGCATTGATTATGGGAAAGAGTGTCATGCCCAGGCCACCAAGAATGGTGTTGACTCTATGTTGCCTGTACAGAATTCTTTGATTCACATGTATGCTTGTTGTGGGAGTGTTCAGCTTGCTAGGGTGTTGTTTGATGGCATGTTGAGTAGGGATTTGGTTTCGTGGAACTCGATCATTGATGGACATATTAAGGTTGGGGAGTTGAATGCTGCACACCGATTGTTTGATGAAATGCCTGAGAGGAATTTGATTACTTGGAACGTCATGATTAGTGGGTATTTGAAGTGTAGGAACCCTGGTTATGCGATGAAGTTGTTTCGCAGAATGGGTAAGTTGGAAATGAGGGGTAATGCTAGGACTATGGTCTGTCTGGCTACGGCTTGTGGTCGGTCCGGTAGACTCAAGGAAGGGAGATCGGTTCATGGGAGCATTGTTAGGATGTTCGTGAGGTCAAGTTTGATTCTAGATACGGCTTTGATTGATATGTACTGTAAGTGCAGGAAGGTGGAGGCTGCGCGGAGAGTGTTTGAGAGAATGACAGAAAGAAATTTGATTTCGTGGAATGCAATGATCTTGGGGAACTGCATTCGGGGGAATCCTGAAGATGGACTGAGCCTGTTTGGCGTAATGGTTGGAATGGATGGAGCTGAGAGTGAAGAGAGTTTGAGGTTGCTTCCTGATGAAGTAACCTTCATTGGCGTTCTCTGTGCCTGTGCTCGGGCGGAGCTGTTGGCTGAGGGCAGGTCTTACTTCAAACAGATGACTGAAATGTTTGGTGTGAAGCCCAACTATGCTCATTTTTGGTGCATGGCAAACCTTCTTGCGAATGTGGGGCTTGTTGATGAGGCGGAAGACTTTCTTCGGAGCATGGCAAAATTTGACGGGCATATATCATGTCAATCGTTTTTATGGGCAAGTTTGCTCGGTTTATGTCGTTTCAAGAGGGATGTGTACTTGGGGGAACGAATTGCTAAGCTTCTTGTTAACATGGATCCTAAGAACCTGGTGTATTACCAGTTTCTACTGATCATTTATGCCGTGTCTGGTCAATGGGAGAATGTTTCTGGAGTGCAAAAACTGATGAAGGAAAGAAGGCTAGGGGTAATACCTGGAAGCAGTCTTGTGGACTTGAAAAATATTGTCCACAAATTCAAAGTGTCAAATAGAGACCACGCGGGAATTGAAGAAATAAATATGATGATGGATGAACTAGCTCATAGATTAAGGTTGCCAAGTGCTGATTTAAGCCAGTCATAAGTAGGCCACAAAGAAAGTACTAGCTAGATTATCAGCGATGATGGTAACAGATATGCAAACACTTGAACAAGTAGTATAAGAATTCAATTTACAATCTTTTTATATTAAGGTGTCAGGAATTTTGTTGGTTGAAACATCTCTCACTCAACAATCATGTAGGGTCCAATCTTATATAGATGCCAGTGTGTCTCTTCTGGCATGCATACGGATACTTAGGAGAAATTGCAATTTTGTATTGAGGTTTTGGATTTATGATTAAGCTTATAATCTTGTTTAAGTTTAATATTGCTTGTTCTGATTATACTTTCTCTTCCATTATGGATTTTTTCTTCCCCCTGCAATAGAATGAATGATTGATGTCGAAATATCCTATTATAACTGAAAATGAATCCCCAAAGGATGCTAGAAGAAATATGAATTTATTTCAATTTTGAAACTTTACGACCAACATGCAAAAGCACGGGGGTTTCTCGGGTCACGTTGACTAAAAAAAAGTGCTTTGTAAAGTAAGATAGAGAGGAACATAATTTGTTTATCTCATCTCAAACAAGAGGAAAAAAATAACTATACACAGACAAAAATATTAAATTAGGAAAGACAAAATTTACGAGTATATAAACACTGAGGCTATTATGACCCTAAACCATTATTATTGGCAAATACTAACGATTGTCCTGAACGCTAGTTAAGAAATTAAAATACATAAGTGCGCTTTCATCTCCGAAGATACTGATTATAATAAGATTCATTCTCTATATTTAAAAACTGAAATGCTGCTTTTGGTATAACTAAAATTTCTCATTAAAATTATAGATTCTCTCAAATAATATATCTAAACAGTAAAACTTACCACCGAATATTTTAGGCACTCTAAAAAGGTGAGAGTTGAACGAACATTAAAAAGGAGAAACAATTGTACTTGATTGCAGAGTTAAATTCTAATGATCAAAATCTGTTTTCAAGACTTTTAAGGTGATGTAAAGCCAAAGGATTGTCAGATAGACCATAAAATGTTTAAGACAACATCGTATATGAAATGTTCTTTGCTGCTTTTTGGACTCTAGAATAACAGAATTAGAACCAGTTTGGTATAGATGATCATCAAATGGTGTCCAAATCTTGCTTCTGCACCACATTTCCATTAGTAGCATACAGTGGTTTTAGCACTGTGGCACTATTTAGGTGCTTGCGTTTTACCATGTAATATTCGTGATGAGAAATTAGGAGCCAAAAGGTTGGCTATTATTGAAACTCAATAACCCTCATGTCAGAACAAAGGCATCCCATCATCATAACTATTACTTACAATTTAAAGTGCTCTTAAGTTCATGAAGGAAGATAGTTTTGAGTCGTGAACACAATCAACATAAATAGTCTGAAATAGAAAAGAGACAAGTATATAGCATACGTAAATCTACAAGGAAGATCTTTGAAAATCAGACAAGCATAGCATAAATCCACATAGCACATCTTTGATTCAGATTTTACGAGCTTAACAAAATCATTCAAATGCCCACTGGTTTTCCCGACGAACTTCCTCTTCTTCCTCAGGGGTGAAGTCATTCTTAATGTTGAAGGTCTTGCGAATTTCCTCTGGAGTCTTCCCCTTGATCATGTCTGCTACAGTCTGGCAGGTAAGATCCAGCAGGCTCTTGATGTTCAAGTAGTTCGCAGCCTAAAAGGAAAATTGCCTCATTAATATGCAACAGTATAGACTAAACCTACTAAATAAACAGAATATGAATGTTTAGGAGTTCTCCAAGAATGCTTTCAAAGAGAGAAAGATAAAATGAAAAATTAAAATTAGTTTCTCCTTTAAACTAAAATTAACATATACACAAGTTAAAAATAAAAAAGTTACAAAAACTATATGAGAGTTTCTACAAAATAGCTTGTGTACAAGTTAATTTTAGCTTATGGAAAAACTAATTTCAATTTTTCCTCTTATTTCTCTTTTCTAGAAGGAACTTAAAATTTTCCTTTAGACGAATTATCCAGACATAGAACACGACTAATGGAATTCTAAGACTTCACCCAATAAATAAACAGAGCAGATGAGGCAAAAATTGGCTCAAATGATCCAAAATTTGGAAAATGAGAAAATGCAATAACAATTCTAAATATGCAAGTTGTGTTCCAATTTGCCAACTAATAAAAGATATAAATTTTATTTCTCTCAAGTGAGGCTTCACTTTAAACATATGCGAAGGAGACCTCATAAAATTGACAGATGAATATGAAGTCATGCAAAACAAACTACATCATTCAATGAATCACAAATTGAAAAGTATCAGAATTACTTATTAGACAACATTCTTAATGAATAATGAATGCCATCAGTGTGAATGTTCAAGTTCCAACTTAAATTACAATCACTCAAATTTGATCCCTAAATAATGTTTTACTGAAATAAACTCCTTCCAGGTAAAAGTACTTTTTCATAAAATTATGATGTATAGAGGAAGGGCGATATTGTTGAACAAAGTAATTGGACATCATGCAAATGTTAAAGCAAAAAAATTATACATGCCATCAACTTTAAGCAAAACCACATTAGGTTGTCAATCGGACCGAACCGAATCACACAAACATTAAACTTTCATAAACTTGACTCTTAAATTTGACTCACAAATTCATAAAAGTTTGCATAATTAAAATAATATTAAAAATCTATTAATGAAGTATGCATAACATAATACTTTGAGCACTACAATAATAAACATTTCACTTTCATGACAAGTTCTTGAATGGAAAACAAGCTAATTTCTTAAAACAAGTTGACTGATATTAATACAAGTTACTGTAGAGTCAATGAAGGAAAAATTACATTAATTTCAAACTCGTTGACCCCTTCTAGAGTCAGAGAGTATATACAACTCCACATGAGTTAGCTCAGTTATCTCTGCGTAGGATACTAAACTGGTAAGTGTTTAAAAGATAACTCAAGAATTTGACAATCTTACACCCTCGTACATGAATAAATAAACCATGATATGAACAAATACTAACAAAATAAAAAAGAGCAACCCTAAATAAATAAACCATGCCATGAACAAATACTAACAAAACAAAAAAGAGCAACCCTAACACCGCATCAAATTCATAAACAACCACAAAAAAATATTCAAACTCTCAGATCACATAACTGACACCATAGCCAGTTTGCAACTATACACAACACCGAAAAACTAAGTAACATAATCATGAATCACAGCAAGTAACCCATGAAAAAAACTGATTTAAAACATATTCTGAATCATTAAACACCAGCTCCACAAACAACAGAACAGAATTGCACATTAAAGAGAATAATAAATCATCAATTAGTTACATAAATATTACCCTAGTTCCTAAATAATCAAATAATAAATATTCAGTGAGAATTATACATAAACAATTTACCTAGGATGATTTCTCATGTAATTTGTTCTTATGTCAGGGATTACTTGGTTAAACAGTAAAACTAGAGAGATGAAATTGACAAAGATTTGAAGAAGAAGAAGCACTGACCAGGATGAGATCGAAGAGCGTGGCCTGGTCGACTTTAACAAAATCGGCGTCCCAGGCCTTGAGATCTTCATCGGAGGGTTTATCGTCGGGATTGGCAGCGTCGACATGTTTTTTGCAGTACTCAATGACTTTGGCGAGGATCTTGCTGGTGACGTTAGGGAGAGGGATGCCGCTGTCGGCGCAGTCGTCCTCGATCATGTGCTTTATCGTCTGCGACTCCAGCGCCACCGCCTCGTCCACCTCGAACGCCTCTCCATCCGAACTCTTCAGGGTGATCTTCCTGGCCGAAGACATGATGATATGATTCAGAAAGAAATGAAAGAAAAGGGAAAGTCACGAACCCTAACTTTTCTCTGATTTGTATGAAAAAGGCAAATTAGTTGTTGGGCTTTATTTATAACCAAGTTTTCGATTTACTGTTTGTTTAGTTAGGTTTCATTTATCCATTATACCATCATCACGCCCTCGTGTTCCTCCAGTGGTCCCTCGTCCAATTTTTTATTTTTATTTTTAGAAAATAGACAATAAGTAATTTTATCTCTTTATCTAACTATTATATTTGTTAATTTTTATAATAATAATTATTTTAATATTTTTATTTATTATCTAGTCATAAATTTTTATTATAATAAATTATTGTGATATATATATAAATATAATATAACATCTTTATAATTCGTTTTTCTTTAATAATATAATAATTTAAATTAATGATCTATTTTAATTATTAAATTATAAAAATAAGTCAAATTCTTATTTTTGAAATAATTATATATATATATATATATATGAATATATAATTAAAATAGGAAAAATATACTTTTATTTTGCACCTTTTTTAAATTGTATTTGTTTTTATATTTTTAAATTATAAGTTTGATCTTTTAAATTTTAAATATGTATTTAAATTTTTTTATATCTAATGATTTTTAAACTAGATAAAATAGTTAAATATAATTTTAATAATTTTTAAGTTTAATATTTAGTAATATTTCTTATTAAATTTATATAAAAAAATAAAAAAATTTAAAGTAATATATAAATTATTTATAAATTATAATGTAAAATATTATAATTTTTATATTATTTAAATATATATTTATATTATAATTTAATTATAAATATTTAAATTATTAGTTATAATAAAATAATTTACATGAATGCTAACATAATTAAATATTAAATATGTTTTTTAAAGTAATATATAAAAAAAAATGCACTAATCTGCCAACTCATGCTAAAATATTTATAGATAAAAATCATTATTATCCTGAGGAAGATGTCCAGCCTTACAATCCTTATATAATATATATATATATATATAAGAATAAAATTCTCACTATATTTTCATACAATAATAAATATATTAAATATATATATAATATTAATATTAACATAATTCATTATATAAAATAGCGAAAACAAAAATAATATCACTCTATTTTGTTATATTTTTTTTAACAATGAAATAGTTTATATTTATATTAATTTTAGTTTTATATTTATCTTTAATAAAATACTTTTTCATTTATATAATTTTATTTATTATATGAAAATAGTTTTTAATTAAAAATATATTACGTTATAATACAAAGTTGAGTTATATAAAACAAAAATTAAATAAAAAACAAAAGATATTACATTTATAAATAATATATATATAGATATAAATCATTAATCATAATTTTACAATAAATAATATATTTTCAGTGTAGGAAATAAGGATTTAGTTTAATTTTATTGTAAAGTAAAAATAATTTTATATTAATATATTTAAATTATAATAACATGATTCAGTAAAAAGTTTTGTTAGAAACAATAAAAATTATAAATATATTATTAAAAATAAAATAAAAAGAAGAATAATTTTAATGTTTAATTTATTCTTTTTTGGAAATAACAGTTATTTTAAAAAAACTTTAAACAGTGTATAATATTTGGTTATATTTTTATTGTTTACTGTTATTTTGAATTATTAATAAAACTATGGGAAACGCTTTTAGCAATATAACATATAGAAGTTCAAATTTAAATACAGTTCTGAAAGCAAAACTATCAAATATATTTTATTTTATTTTTTAAATAATGAATTATAATTAAAAATAAAAATATATTGATAATATTATAAATTCAAGTAATATATAAAACTTTGTACTTTTAATCTAATAGATGCATAATTATTTACAGTTTGTGCATATTTAACTTTTGTCCATATACGACCTTGATTTGAAATCTTTTAAAATGAACATAAATAAAAACTAATAATGCATACTTTATATTGACTGAGGAGTTTCTTTGTGCTACAATTGTTTAGATATAATATGTCACTGATTCCAACCACCCGTGTATATATATATATATATATATATATATATATATATATATATATATATATATATATATATATATATATATATATATATATATATATATATATATATATTTATTTATTTATTTATTTATTTGTGTAGTGATGCATCAATATTTAAGTGTGAAATAATCTATCTTTGTTTATATGATATTTATTTTATTAATTGATTAATATTAACTTATACAATTTGGTGATAATTTCCTCGCTGCTCTTATAAGATTTTGTTAACCTTCACAAAATTTAAAATATGAAAGTCATTATGGTTCACAACTTATTTTATTTAAATAATGATTTTTTTAGGCAAATTATATTTGAAAATATAATTTTAAAAAGCCTAATAATATTTAGGGATTAGGATTTTCAAAAGTAGAAACCAATTAAAGGTGTATTTAGCTTACCATTCAAGTAAATGTAACTAACTTTATAATGGTAAAAAGTGTTACAAGATGTCAAATTTATCTATAAAAGAAGGATTAAAATAATATTAAATCCATTAATAAATTTTTTTAAGGTAAAAAATTATAAATATGTGTTAAATTTAAGTATAAAAAAATTAAAACATAAATTAAAAAAAAAGATCGAATTGAAAAATTAAAAAATATATGAAGAAGTAAAAATAATTATGAGTTGAAAAGGGGTAAAAAAGTAAAATGGGAAATGTGGAAAAAAAATGACGCGAATAAATAATAAGAAATGACACATAAATAAAAAATGAAGAAAATATCTAGATTGAATATAAAAAAACTTAAAAAATACAAAAATTATCCTAAAAGAGAATCAGGTAAAAAGAAATCCAAATTATTAAAAGAGACATTTTCTCTCATAAAACCTATGTGTTAAAATCTAAATTATGTAAAAAAGAAACATAAAATCTGTACCTAATATTCTTAATAGTAACCATGTTAAAAATATTACAAAATTATAGAAATATACATGGTTGAATAAAAACTCAATACAAAAAATTATAAAAAATTGAAATCAAAAATTTACAATTAAATTCTTGGCCTATTGTTCACAGGGACTATGAAGGCATGACATTCACAGGGTGATTATGCAAATGCCTGGGAGGCTAGCACCTTCTACATTAACTTTATTCTTGGTTAATGTATCAATTAACTAATAACCGATACCAACAACAAAATATAGGGTTAGCTAATCGAACGAGTGAGTTATGACATGAATAAATGAATGATTTCAGTTGTATAAATGACAAAACATGCCAATATAAATTAACTCACACTATATTAAACCAGGTAAAAAATAGGTTTATGATACAGCATCAACTATATCTAAAACCAACTTTTTTCAAGTACAACGAAATAAAATCCCTATACATAGTTAATCGAGGCAAGGTGCGGTGAGAATTAGAAGTACATAATTCCTGCCTTCCTGTGATAATTCTAATAGACACATATCCTCTACTTTAATATGGTCTTCAAGTAACCTTGAATTCTGAACAAGCAAACGATAATCTCGTTTGTTAGTTAAGATTCCATGTACTGAGAGGGTGGAGGACTTATTTTGGTCTTCTCACCTGCAAAATGGTTTAACATCAAACATTTCGCATGCAAATTGAGCAGTGATCGGCAAGAATAATATGAAAAAAGACCATTAACCCTAAAAGGTGAATTAGCCTTTAGAACCAGATGAAGTTCCCAATATTATATTAAAGCAAGTTGAAGAATTAGGAGGATATACCACTAATCCCACGGATCTCCACTTCTCTCCATTCTTGCACAAGGGCACAGCAGCAACACATCAAATGAGAAAGGAAATCATCAATAAAGCCCCCCTGGCATAGAAGTAGCTGTGAGTAGAAAGTACTCAAAGAAACAAACAAATATATATGCATCATACTAAATTCTAAAGTATGCTCACAACTACGTCTATATTTTTAGCTCGCCTTGAAAAATGGATGAACAGAACCTACTTTGAAATAATAAGAGTTGGTACAAGTTGCATAAAGAAAAGGATTAATAATAATACAGAATGATATATGACCATGCTTGAAATGATGGCCATTATGGAACATATCCAGTGGAATAAAATGAATACATTTACAATGTGATGCCAAAGAAAGCATCACATGTAATATGTATCTTAAAGCTAATGATGTCTAAAAATCCACAAACAATAGGTGTACCAAAAAAGAGAGGATGAGATGTCATATTTATACAGAGAAGGAAGAAATAATTACTGTGATGTTCAACATCTTCCGAAGCTTCCTCCTTATGCAGCAAGTATAGCAACAACACGACAAAATTAATGAATATGCCATCAAGTCGTTACATGCTTCTGCAGAGGCTGAAAAAACAAAAAACAGAAATCATAGTAACAAAACCTCAATAATGCTCAAAGTATTTCAAGCCAACCAGATTGAAGGTAAAAATAACAAGCAACGAGATATGTTTGTAACTGAGAACCCTTAACATTAACTTTTTACAGGTAAAATTACATAAAAGCTTGACTTCATTATAAGTCAAATTCAAGGTAAAACTCTGATAGACCACTAGTTGTAATAGATGAAGGATTACGTGTCAGAGGATGTAAGTGTAATAATGAATGAAAGTTATGATGGCTGCTGCAATAGCTAAAACTTTAGGAAAACATTAGGGGTTAGAGCTTGATTTAATCATTTTTAACCAATAAAAGCATTGTACCAATTCACTAGGTGTGAAACTGGTTTAATGCTGTAACTATAGTTAAAACAAACCAGCAATTTCCCACCAAGAAGAGAAATTAGCTAATTTAACTATATGACCCTCCCCTCATGAGCAATATCCATATGTTCCTCACTTACAAAACATTTAACATCCCAAAAAGGGAAAAAGGGACAATTACCAACCCTTCATACGACCTCTATCAGAAGATCGCATTTAAGGTATAGTCCATATTAGATGAACTCCACCTGATATGAGCACTGACCAAATAACACCATCAAGAAACATACTTAACACATATTAGTGGCAACACTTGCCACCTCTGGAAGCATCATTATGTCAACTTGATCCACATGAATTATAGCAATATTGGCAAGAAACATTGAAAACGAAAGCACTCAGAAGTAGATTCATCCCTTCAATAGTAACACAGTGCATCATAGGTAACTTACATATGGGCCTGTTTCTTGCAACAGAAGCAATCTTTGAAAATGTTCCACAAGGATAGAAGAATGTCTTCATACCTGCAGAGCAAATGCTATGCTTGTTATTAGGAATTGGAAGTATAGAGGTATTGGGGGCTCTCTCGACCTAATTTATTTTTAGTTATAATATTTCCTTTTTTTCTGCCATTCAAAGGACTGACCCTCCAGTTCTTACTATAACTTCTATCTCATCAAACATATGGGGTTTTCAAAGCTCAATGAGGCTATCCCTTGACAATTATTCACCCGTGATTCAACATGCAAGTTAAAAACAGATTTCACAATTACCACAAACAGCATCTAGTTTGATTGAGAATCACAAAATAAAAATGGTGTCCGGCAACATGTATTCATCTTATTCCATGCAAATCACACAAACCATATCCATCAGCATCAAACCACCACTACCAAGCCTTTTCCCACTAAGTGGAATTAAATACATAGCTCAAATAGCACCATAGTAATTTATTATGAATCAACAAACCATTGACCTCTCAATTTTTCTTAATGGTTTCACTTCTTCTTTTCTTGATCTTCCTCTTCCTCAAGAGATAGTGTACCCTCTATCAAATCTACTCTCCTAATTGAGGTTTCTTCAAGTCATATTCACACAAGTCCAAACTACCCAAGGGAAGCTTCTACCATTTTTATGACTCCCAACTCTCCATCCAATTCATTCATTTTCAGTCCTATCTTTATCTAGTATGAGCACTGAAAAACCCAACATTTTCGTCCCTCCTACATTGAGTCTATTCTCTAGTTAGAATTTTAGCACCAAATACTCTGCTACATTGAGTCTATTCACTTGTTAGAATTTAATCGCCCAATACTCAATTGTATCCTTAAGCCTCAGCCGTATATATCCTATTTTTTAGTTCTCATGCAGATATCTATTTCAAACAATTAAGTGTTGAACAGCATATCATGCAAACCACATGCCCACAAGTGCAACTTGAGGGAATTAAAATTTGGTAAAAGAGAAAGAAAGTCAAAGTTCCATTAAACAAATATTTCAATTGAGTAAAGTCCTCAAAAAAGAAAGGGGGTACCACCAAATCATTTTACCTCAATAGAGAGATGCTGAGTATATAATAGTTTAAAAAATTAAAAAGTAAACTTCAATTTGATGGTGAAAAGGAACACAGATTTGTGACTGGGATTTTGTAGCATCATACATGATAAAGGGAGACTACTAACTAGCAGTGGCGCTGACATAATGGAAATGAACAAGAAAAAGCATTATCATTCTACATTAAGCAGTGAACAATAATATGCAGTTAATAACCCTCAGATGAATAAATGGCACAGAACCTAGAAAAAATTCAAGGAAGAACGTACAAAGAGAAGGCTCAGAACAACAAGCAAGTAAATCAGTGTGCCAATCTTCCTGTGGATATGAACCCCCATTTGATACCATTTCCTTTTGTGCAACTGAATATCTGTTTGACATCAATTTAAGTTAGTAATAAAAAAGGTAAACACAAATCATTAAAAATAACTATCATTGAAATGTTTAGCACTTAGAATATATAGTGCTAATCAAAGGTCTATGCACAATCTGTACAGGAATGAAAACAATTACAAATTTACAATAGAAATGGAACATAAAGACAAAACAACTAACTACCACAAAGGATTAATCACAACACTAGATGACAGAAGGGTATCGTTCAAATTCACATAAATATTCTGACTTTTGGTCAATTAGTTAAGGCGAGTGAACCTAAAAAATTTGTAGTTAAGAGAGAAATAATTAACCTTGATGGTGAATGCTTGTCAACTTTTGTATGGTATTTTTCATCAGAAGAATGCTCCTTGTCACTGCTGGATTTAGCATAATTGTATTCCTCTTTCTTGTGATTTTTCTCTGGTGAACACTTCTCTGGAACAGAATAAGCTGCTACTTCTGTGACATCCAGTAAACGTTGAATGACTTCACACTGATTCACATCTAAATTTGCTTGTGAGCGTTGTAGCTCAAGTTTAAGCTTTTCATTTTCTTTTTTAAGTGCTTCAGTGAAAGAACAGTTGGGGTAAGAACAGGATAGTGTTTTCTTCAACACAGCAGTGTCATCTTTGTCAGGCTCCGGTTTAAAAATAATTGTCTGTGCCTTTTGGTCATCATCATCCAATGTGTATTCACGTTGATCCATCTCAATAACTTCAAGTCTCTCCTGAATATTCCAGAGAATGAGAGAAGTAATAGATTGTTAACAATATGTTCAGAGCAAATTTACAATAGCAGGTTATTACAATGAAAAAACAGGTTATTGAGAGTTATTAGGGAGAATTAATCATCTTGGATTAATATTTTTTAATCTTTGTAACCATAATTAAATAATTAGATAATTATGGAGGTTATTGTTCTGTTATTAGAATAACTATTAATTTCTTATAAATAGAGATACACACATTGTACATTAAGTGGTGAATTTGAATAATAATGAAATCATTTTGTGTTCTTTTTCTAACATGGTGCGGTGAAATATTTGTTAAAGAACCCTAGTTTTTTTTCTCAAGACTTTCTTTCAAAAATTCCCCGTGTTTCTTTATTTTGCTTCGACCATGACAGCCCCAATTCCCACTCCGACTCCATCTTCCACAAATTTCAATTCGTCTTCATCTGCACTTTCTAATCATCTAGTGAATCCATCAAACCCCTTATTTCTTCATGCGAATGAGAATCCCTCTCTCATTCTTGTCACATCTCTTCTCACAGAGCATAATTTTCATGTCTGGTCTCGGAATATGCTTACCGCACTTGAATCGAAGAACAAGGAGCAGTTCATTGATGGTTCGCTTCCTCCTCCTCCGGCTTCTGATCCTCTTCGCAATCCATGGCAGCGTTGCAACAAAACGGTCATGTCCTGGTTGATTCGATCTATGACGACCTCCATTGCGCAATTTGTCCTTTACATGGATACTGCAACAAAGATTTGGAAGGACCTATGCGAACGTTTCTCTCATGGTGATAAGTTTCGTATCTCTGATCTTCAAGCTTCTATTCACGAGCGTAAACAAGGTGATTCCACCGTTTCTCAATATTACACTCATTTAAAGACTCTTTGGAAACAACTTGATCAGTATCGCGCTGTATTGGTATGTTCTTGTGATAATCCATGTTCTTGTGGTATCTTGCTGAAAATCAAGAAGGAACGTGAAGATGACTGTGTGATAAAATTTTTGCGTGGTCTCAACGAGGAGTACTCTCAAGTTCGGTCCAACATCTTAATGATGGATCCTATGCCGTCCATTACCAAGACTTTTTCTCTAATTCAATAGCATGAACGCGAAATTGGTGGCATTACAATAAGTTCCCCTCCTACTGACTCTTCAAAAATTATTGCTTCCACTGATGCTTCAACAAAACCTCCTTCCTTTCAGTGTGGAGGTTCTTCAAATAGTCGTGGTGGTGGTCGTTTTGGTAGAGGCAATGGCAGGGGCAATCGCTTTTGTGCAAAATGCAAGAAGACTAATCACACAATTGATTCTTGTTTCGAAATTTATGGATATCCTGTTGGATACAGAAACAACAATAAAGGCAACACCACTTGAAAGGCTTCTACCAATTTGATTGCGACAGATTCAAAAACAGCTTCTCAATCCATTATCCCAGAAGAAAGTTCTAATCAAACTCAGTTTACTCTTTCAAAGGAACAATATCATGCTTTTTTTGGCTCTCATTCAACACAATAATGATGTTCCTCCCTCTGTGAATCATATTCAAACTCCCAAAAATTCCTCCTCAGGTATACCTTTCTCCTCTTCTCTATGGGTGCATGATAGTGGTGCTACTAACCACATTTGTCCTTCTCGACATTTGTTTGATTCTCTTAATCCTATTGAACCTATCCCTATTTGTCTTCCTAATCATACTACTGTTTTAGCAAAATTATCTAGAACTATTAGATTATATGGACCAGACGGTCGTCCAGCCTTTCTAGCGCGTTTTCCTATAAATAGGACCTCATTTCCACACACTCTCACACTCTTCTCTCACCCTAGAAGGCATTCTAAGACTTTTAAGTGACTTTGAGCATTATTCCGGAGTCTGAGTGATCTTTCAGACACTTGTGAGTTGAGTTTTCTTTTCCATTGGAGAGAGAAACAACATTGTAAAGCGAGGCGATTGCCAAAAAGCATCCTTAAGTTTGAAGAAATTATAAAAAACTCGCTTCGGAGGTTCTTTTTTTTATTCTCTCTTTTATCGCTTTCCTTTACTGCTTTCCTTTGTGTGCATTAGATATTAGAGTCATGTAGATAGTTATTTAAATACCACAATGAATAAATAGGGTAAAAGCATAATCTCTAGGATCTTTATTTTTCGAATTAATCTATTATAAGGTACCCGAAAGGGGCGTTATGGGTTGCTAACACCTTCCCCACACGTAACTAACTCCCTTACCCAACTCTGATTATAATGACCAAAGTTGGTTTTCTTAAAACCAACACCTTCTTTTTCTTTCTTTTTTCGATGTTTATGGTCAAAACATCGGTGTTTCTAACAAGAGTACACAAAAATCCAGAAACAATGTTTTCACAACAGCCACACATGCATACACATATACACACAAACCTTAGAAGAGGAACAGGGATTGGATTAATTGGTTAATGACTTACAACTTGGGCTACTGCCTTTATTACAATGGTGCTGACTGAAAACTAAGGTAAAACTAAAACTAATGCAAGACTCTATTTACAGGATCAATGAAGCAGTAACCCAGACTAACGAGTTGAATCATAATTTACAAGAAATACTTTGTTGTCCTGATACCAATTAGTACGACACATCAACGGGTACATGTGATGAAGATAGAGTGTCATAAAGTGTGAATCCTGATATGACTTTCAAAATGATAGATCCTTAGGAAGACATTTCCAAAATAATGTTCCATACATTTAATAGTTCAAGTTGTACAAACCACTAAATAGGATAGGACACAAATTTTCACAAGCCAGGATTTTAAACTTTCAGTCCACTATACTACAATATTTCAGCGTGGTAACTGAAATAATCGATGTTGGCAACCTCATACGTAGAAACTGAAAAGAACATGCAACAACATTGAAAACATAGAAATCCAGATATTACAAGCTAAGATGGTTACTTAATATAATCAAAGATTTGAAGGGGAATACAACTCTAGCATGCTATAAGCTAAGATGGCTACATAAACAATATAGTCAAAGATTTGAAGGGTAATACAACTCCACCATGGTTGATCAGTAGCATCTAAGAAATTGAAAGAATGTTTTCAGCGAGTAAAACACTACATATTTGTTCTATCTTTTTTATTTAAGGGTGATCACTGATCAACAAAAAAGACCATTCACAACCAGAAATACATATAATTGAGCACAGCAAAAACAACAGATACCCTGACTCGAGCATTGTCCACAAGAGTAATGAGAGGAACAAGACGCAGATATCTATCAATTTCATTCTGAGCCTTCCTGAACTGATAAACAATGTTCCAGCCCATAGCCAGCAAATAGAGGTAGCTGCGGTCCTGACAACTATTGACTAATATGTAAGACCTTCTGAGGGCATCTTCCAGCTGCTCTAGAGGCTCCCTAGTTTCTGGGTACCTCTTCAGCTCCGAGATCTTGAGCTGCTCCAGTAAGTTCCCAATTAACTTTAGATGCTGGGCAAACTGCCTGCAGTTTTTCTTATGCATCCGTGCAGTGCTTGCAGCTCTCACAATCATACCAATCAGCCGCACAGCATCTACGCCAGTCAATTGTGCCACAGTTGCAAGTTCCCCCATTTGATCCCAAGACGCCATGCTCTCTGCAAATCAACCTAAATTCCAGTTACATCAGCTCCAAACACCTATTTCCAAAATTTCATTTTAATCCTTAATTTGCGCATAGAAATTCAAATATATTTTAAAAAATAATAATAATTTTAAAAAATGAAAAATTATACAGTGAAATTTAAAAACAAATGTCATAAAATATTAGAATAAAATAAAATATAATATTATTGGAAAAAAAAAAAACCATATACAGAGAAAACACATGCATGAAAATTATTATACCTTGTAAGAGAATATATGCCTTGAATTATAGTAAAATTGACTGCTCCGCTTGCCCAGTGGCACAGCCAAAGTAGAAGCGAAACAGAAAATAATCAATAATAAACTATCTCAGGCCGGATCAAGCATTTCTCAGAAAATGTTTCTCAGAAGTAGCATTGCTTTTGAGATCTCGAATATTCAGAGACAAGAACCCTGCAAAAAAGGCAAATACAATTAAATCAGTCAAAGAAAACAAATTTTAAAAAAATCTGACACAGAAGAAATTATAAAATCACTACATTCTGGCGTAAAACATGTAATTAAAATACCTCCAAATCCAGTTCAGTCTATTTATCTATCAGTCTACATTTAAAAAAAATAAAAAAAATAGAGAGAGAGAGAGATAAGTAACCGATTTCATAAATATTTCAATTTCACCTAATCAATCGCACTGCAGGGAATGGATTTTGTTGTCCGTAACAGTGGCTGGTGAAAAGTTTTACTTACTTGAGAGAGAAGAGAGGAAAAGGAGCATAGAATTCAGGTGATGGCAGGCATTGCTTTGCGCGAAGGAGCTCTCGTCCTTCTGAATCACTCTTTGTCTCTCTCTTTTGTGCTTATCGCTCACAGTTTGGGCTCGGTGCTGTTTTGTGCAGTGTGGAGCTTGGCCGCATGTGATGGCACCTCCCACTAGAAAATTACCCTCTAATTGAGGCCGTTATTACGACACTGCCTTCACGGACCGTGAAACTGTAACGGCAGGTTGACCTTTCCAGAAGTATTAAGTGAGAGTGGGGAATGTAAGAGTTATTTAATGGCAAGCCAGCTGGCACCTGTAATTTAGTTGAAGCAATGTGCATGAACAGTTGCAGTCCGAGCTTGTCAACTAATGAAAGCCACTTACCGAAGTTACTAGGGTAGTATAGGAAGGAAAACAAAATTCATCTAAAGATAAAAAATTATGTCAAAGATTCAAGTTTTCTTTTTTATATTTGTAAAAGAAAAAAAAAATTGATTAAAGAAAGAAGAACAAGATTGAACCTTTCTTAATCCATGGAGTAATGGAATGATTTAATAGAACATATTCAAAAAGATTCTGATATTGGTTGGTTGGTTAGACTGGAAGTTGTGAGGTTGAAAAGGAAAAAGAAAGAAAAAGCAAAAAGGATGATGTTGCTACCAAACAGCATTGAAGAAGGTCAATGGCGTCATTTAAGGAGGAATAATGAGATTAATTAGGAATAGAAAAGGCAATTAGGAAGGGGATGGAGGATATTCTTTCTTTCTTGTGCATTGGAATGGTGAAACACTGAACATAACCCCATGTTGTGAGGTGCACGTGGTCTTCATCTTTTCATGTCTTGTGGTTGCGGATTCCACACTTCAAAATCCTCACCAATTAGAGATACTGCCACACTGCTCTTACTTTTATTTCTGTTTCCACTCCACCCCACCATCAGCATGCAACTGTGTGTTCTGGACTATGCTCTATTATGGTCCATCCATGGATTTAAATGGATATGGATCCTTGCGTGGTTTACAAGGATTCAAAATTTTGTTCCAAATCCTAAACCCTAACTCTAACTTATTCATAACTATGATGTTGGGGTGTAGATATAATGAAATGACAAGTTACCATACTTAAATTTTTAGTTTTCACTTTCAAGTATGGTGTTTTTTTTGTTTCATGTATACTTGTTAAATATTAGGAAAATATGTGAGAAGATGAAAAAAAAAAAAGGAAAGAAGGTGTCTTTAATTTTATCTTGTCTCTTATGATTTGTCAAGTAATAAAAATCTTTTATTTTAGTTATTCTTTATGATGGGTTGACCATAATGGGTGAGGTGGAAAAAAAAAAATCTCAACCATTATCACTAAATGATAAAGATATTGTTACCAATCAATTATTGGTTTCTCATTATTTAACAAAAATACAACTATATGGTGATAGTAGTTTTTGGGATAGGATATTACATGCTAACTTTTGTTTTATAAGTATATTTTAATATATTTATGTATGAGGAATGTTTATTATTAATTACACACACTCCTTAGTAAATCATAATTTAAAGATAGGTGAATCACAGAGTAAATAATTAGTATAAGAATTTAAAGTAATAAAATAAAATAAAATACTTTTTCTTTCAATGTATCTAAGTTTATTGTTTAAATTATTATATTCAATTTTTTGAAAGATGAATTATTATATTATAATTTAGAGTTTTCTTTAAATTCTATAAAACTTAACATATACAATTGTGGTGTTTAGATTCAATCAAACACTTTTACTCCTTATTAATCAAGATTTAAATTTATAAAAATGTTATTTTTCCTTTTAATTTTTAATAATTCATTTTTAAGCATATTTGACTAAAATCGTATAAATACTGTTCTATTTTCAATTATTGAACACTTGTATGAAAGAAAATATAATATATTTGGTTTTATTTAAAGTATATGATATTATACAAGTGTTATGCTTGTTGGGTAAAGAGAGATTCAAATATTTATCTACTGAACACAGGGACCAAAAGATTAATATTTTTTTTCAATAATATAATAATATTTTTTATTTTAAGAATTACAATTTCAAAATAAAATAAAGGTTAACATAAACTATATATAACGACACTTCATAATTAAAACAATCCACGTCAACTAAGGAGAGAATAATTCTAATGATATCTCGAACTATAAATGAATTACCAATATTCATGTACTTTTAGAATTTTTGGACCATGTATTACTAATGGTATATATTTTAATTATTATTATTATTAAGATAACAACAAATCCAAAATAAAATGACACTTTTGGGACAATTAAAATATTTGCTTAACAAAAAAAAGAGTATTAATTTAACGAAAATAATTGTAACTGGATATATATGCGGCAATTTGAATGGTGCTGTCCATGTGAGCCACTGTATCCACCTCATATTAGCACATAGTAGTGCTTTACGTGTAGTATTAAGTTATTTTTTACACACTAGTGTTTTTTTTTTAAGTTAGGATTAAAAAATTAAAATTAATTTATAAGTTTAGAAAAATAATTTTAGATCAATTATATAAAAGAGTTTATACAAATTAATTTGAATTTTATTTATATATTTTTAAAAATTTATGAAAATATTCTGATTACAAACAATTTTTGAGTAATTATTTTAATAATAATCACTATAACTTACTCGACCATGACCAGGGTCTTTCACATAAGACAAATTAAGATGCTGTTGACAAGCAAAACTACGTGCTGTTACCTAATTTTTGGTCACGGGATAAAAGCAACTTGAAAAGAGATTCTCTCTCTCTTTTTTTTATTTGAACCAACGTATAATTATTTATAATTTTATTTGAATAATAATACGCACAATCAATTTTATATTAATGTAACTACATTAAAACTAATCTTGTGTTAGTCAATTACATACTCTGTGAATTAGAATTTCTCCTCAGAAATTATAATGCGTTTTAGGTTTGTTGACACTTCAATTTATCAATATTTGGATGCTTTTGAGTTAGAAAAAAATAAATAAATAATATATATATATATATATATAATATGGATAATATTAAATAATAAATATATAGTGAGAACAATACTGAATACTTTTAAAATTTTAAATAACAAATATTTTAAAATAACGTAAAATATACGATGAAAGTGGTGTATAAATGGATGAAAAAAACAGACAGAAACTAAGGCATGAAACCTCTTATGGTCCTTTAGTTAACCACTTAGTTTTCATCACATTTAATAGAAAACTACAAAGTGGTTATAACTTTATGTCTTGGTCAGAAATTATTTTACACCAAAGACAATCTTTTATGTGTGGATGGCGTGGAGGGGTTGAAGATGAAGATGGGTTAACCTGTCCCATTCTGGGAAGTGCCAAATTGGGACCTTTGCATGTTTGTTTACCAGGAAAAAGACACCAAATTGACAAGATAATGCTGCCTCATGTGGCTAAAACAATTGAAAAATAAAATAAAATAATCATAATAGCTGTATGTTGTATTTTTTTTTTTAGAATAACTAATGCTAGATTAAGAGTATTATATATTTTTTAACCTTTTTAATCACTACTTTATAAAGTTTAGTATTTTTATTGCCATCTTTAAGAATTAGCTCCGAAAATAATATTATGAATGTGTAATGAAAAAATTATGTTGATTAAAACCTCTTATTTTGATATTATAGAAAAATTAGTTGAAAAATGATGATAGTGTAAAATTGTTTTGTATTATCATTTATTTAATATAATTATATGGATTATTCTATTCATATCTTTATATCAATTTTTTTTCTGTTTATTTTTTACTTAAGGGGTAGTTTATTATGTTTGATTTTCTTTATTAGCATCAGATAGTAATTAACTCATGTTAGTACTTAATTATTAATTAGGTCCGTTCGAAATGACCTCTGACAGTTAGATTTTAGTTTTAATTAATTTTATAATTAGCTTTTTTTTTTTGAGTAATAAAGTTACGTGAAAATTGTGAAAATTAGTTTTTTTTTTCTTGACAACTCAATTTCTTCTTTATTCTTTGATCCGTCATATATTTATAATTTCAAAATTTTTTATAGTGATTATTGTATTATTTTATACAACAATTACATCATATAATTAGTGATATTTTAGATTAGGCCACATTTCCAATAAATATTTAATAAATATGTTCTCAGTATAATGAATTTTCTCTGGATTATTCAATTACTTGTTTCAATATTATATTCTTATATATGTCTCCGATTATCTTCTCAGGTCAAATGAAATGAACTAGAATCAAACATTTTGAGTTTAGCAATGAGAAAAGTCAACTTAAAGAGGGGAGGAATTTTATTCTTTAAAAAATATATAAAAAATAGTGGTAAATAATAATAAAGTTTACTTTATTTTCTATATAACACCAAACATGATAAAAGATACAAAATTAAGGTATTTATTTGGCAATAATTTTTAATGAATACATTAATATTCTATTAAGATATTTATTTCATAATGAATTTAAATTTTAAATTAGATAGAAATGTCACATCTAAAAAATAGGCTATTATATTAATACGTCAAATATATATTCTATAAAAATATTAATAGGTGAGTGACATTTTTCTTATTTATAGAAGTATTGTAAAATACATTTTATTAACAGTGATAGATATTATTTGGACTTATAACTTATATTATAATATATGATTTATGATTTTTATTTTTCAAAATTTAATGATTATTAAATATATTTATTTATATATTTATAAATTTATTTTTATTTTGATTATTTTTTTATATTTATTTATTATCTATTAATAATATATTATTTAACAAATGTAAGATAATATATTATAGATAATTGGATTTATTGCACTAAAATCACTATAACTTATTTAGTAAATATATATATATATATATATATATATATATATATATATATATATATATATATATATATATTTATACCCTAGCAAGTGTAGTAGATTAGATTAAATCCCGCGTGTCATTTAGTTTTCATCATAATTATTCTCAGAAGGTTATATATTTTATAATAGACAAAATATCTTTTGTAAATACTCAAGCAAAGAAAGAGTGTGACAAACGTAAATGAATTACACGGTTTGCGTTCAACAAATTAAGTTTTTTCAGTGTTAACATTGCGTTTACGGCAAGGCAAAACTACAAGGGTTTGATTAATTGCCTTAAATTCTATCGATGTTAAAAAGTGAAAGTGTTCTGCAGTTATTGAGTGTACGGAGGAATAAGATTTTTGATATTTTATAATTTAAAGTAATTTTTAATTTAAATAACATATTTGACTGTAAAAGATTTTGTTGAGAAACCGTGATTATCGTCCATTGACAGAGGGTGGAACCTTGGAAAAGCATGGGATCGTGGATGATTGAGATGGGAAAGAAAATTCACAGGGCTTTTGAAGTGTTATAATTAACCCATGAGATGGTGTAAGTGGCAACCATTATAGTGAACAAAGAAAGGTAAACTTGTAAACCATAATTGAAAATCAATGTCCTTATTGACCCCCTTTCTTCTACATAGGGCGATCAATCACTATCTCTTTCTTTTACTTTATTTTTTAAGGGAATCATTCGTAAAGTAGAACAAACACAGATGCATAAACTTCGCAACAAACTATTCAACAAAAACAAATTTCCTTAAGCTACAAAATTTCAGGTGGGTCATGTTTATCCATACTTGTCTTGTTATATATATATATAAGGTTTCGCTTTAATTTTTATTAAGATTTTTAAAATTAATTTTTTATATATGTTTTAAATTTACCTTTTTATAAAATTTTCAAAAAGGTTTTGTAGTTATATTTTAAATTGACTTTTCACAAAAAAAAAGAAAATTGAAAATATTTTATAATTAAATTTTTTTAAATATTTTAGATTGATTTTTTTTTTTAGAAAATCTATGTTTTAGATTCTATAATCCGGTATAATTAAACTCAAATTTTGAAAAACATTTTTATGGTAAAATTATATTCATAAAAATTATATATTTTTCTATCTACTCATTTGAAAATTTTCGAATTTTTCAATTTGAAATACTTTAAAAATGTGTTTTAAGATGACCAATTCCATAAAATTACAAATATATTTTTATCTTTTTGAATAAATATAGAGTGCATGAAAAATGTGTGGAAATTTAGGAAGAGTATATATATCACTATGCCATTACATTTTTGGGTCCAGAAACTGGGTTTTGTGTTTATTTCACGTCGTTACTTTGGACACTGCAACTCACACCCCACTTTATTCTCTTCTCACTCCACTCTATTTAAAAAAATGTGAAAAATCACTCTTATTCTCCTCCATTCCCTGCACCATTATTCTTCTTCTTTCTGTAGTTTAACATACAGAGAATTGATTTTTTTTTCATATATATTAAAAATATTTTTATATTTTTTAACAAATTATGTTACATTATAATTTCAAATTTTAGAAAACTGTAATATTCATCACAACATATTAACAAATTCGAAATACTATTGTTCCTATACGCTGCACCACCTTTTTTTTTTTTTTCTTTCTCACAGTTTCACACACAATTAATGTATGCACACTTGTATTGTTTTATTCAAAGTAATCATACTTAAATAGACTAAAATTAATCTTTAATTCTTTTGGATATCATTAACGAGTGTAATGCCATTAATGTTTTTGAAGGATAAAATTATATTTTTTTTAAAATATAGAGACTGAAAAAAAAAACTGAAAGAAAAAGTGACACAAAATTGAGAACTAAAAAAAATATCATATAATTATTACGTCAAAAGTATATTATATAAATTAAAATAAATATAACTTTAATATGTTTATTAATTAAGAAAGAAAGTATTACAAGTATCGCATATAAGTTTTTTTTTCTATATTTACGATGTAACTTTTTAAAACTAAAGAATATTAAACATAATTAATTAGGAATATTTGCAATTTAATTTATAATATTTTCTTTAATCCCATCTTCATTATTTAGTTGACTTTTTTCATGTTTCTTCCCCCATATTTTTACAAGTTGTACTATTCTCCTATTTGTTTCTTTTGGATTATTTTATTCATTATACATTTCAACTTAATAAATATTTGTACAAGTATACCATTTTAGATCCCTAAAATTTCATTGTAAAAATATACTCTTGTTGTATCTCTACTTCAACACTTTGAACCTTATAAAAAATGTCATATATTAATTTATAGTATACAAATATGAAGAATATTGTCGTCTAACAAGTAAGCATGATAGTTAAGAGTCTCCACTAATCATATTCTTCCTAACGTGAAGTTTGAGATCACCAATAAAAAAATCTAATAAAGCTTAATTAGAAGTAATTTACTAAATATGTGAATTGTGGAGAGTTGATAATCCAATGTATTATATAATAAATAAAAACCTACTTCACCTTAAAATCCATGGAAAACTTCGATATTATCAAATAGAGGAAATCAATCTTAACATGATCATGTCACATGTGTTGAACATTGTGACTACAAATTTAATCATTTAAAATAATGTAGAATACTATTTATTACAAATACCCTCAATATTCGATAACTATATAGTATTCTTTCTCATCTAAACTAATTAAAATCTTTTTTCTTTTATTTAGTTTGTTATTATATTAAAATCAATATTTTTACGATGATATAGAACATAATTTTTCTCACATATAATAATGAGATTAATCTATACCAAATTTAAAATAATTTTATATTTATGAGGAAGAAATACTATCCTTGTGTTACTATAAAATAAATTCTAAAAAGCAAAACAAATGACATTTAAACTTTATTTTAAAACAAGAGAAAAACATAAAGCATTATTCTTATGAAATGAAAAGTACGAGAGACGTAGGTATATAGTAGAATTATCTAATGCATGCATGCATCACATAATAACGCAAGCACTAGGGTTTTCGTCGCTGAAGCTGGTGGTGTAGCTCTGCTCCTCGAAGAAGTTCGCACGTGCAAATGATGAAGCTTCTGGAACGACGCCATAGTTGCTGTAATTGTCATAGTTGCCATAGTTGCCGTAGTTGCCGTAGTTGCTGTAGTTGCCGTAGTTGTCATAGTTGTCATAGTTGCCGTGGTTGCCGTGGTTGCCGTTGTTGCCGTGGTTGTTATAGTTGTCATAGTTGCCGTGGTTGCCGTGGTTGTCATAGTTGTCATAGTTGCCGTGGTTGCCGTGGTTGTCATAGTTGTCATAGTTGCCGTGGTTGCTTTCGTTGCCGTAGTAGGATTGGAGGGCGGGAGGGTTGTTCCAGACGTCGTCGGATTGGGACCAGAATCGCGCGGCCTTGCGCGTGCGGCACCTCACACGGTCCAAAACAACGTCTGGATTGACATGGCCAATGACGGTGAGCTTGCCGGTGTCTCTTTCCACTTGCACGTCGGTGACGCCCTTCACCCCTTTCAGTGCTTTCTTCATCTTTCTCTTGCACCCTGAGCATGCACACCCGATCTTTATCTCTATTTTGTTTTCCTCTGACATGTTCATCTCCTCTGCATAATTCATCTTACCTTACTAAAACTTAATGACTTAAAAGAAAAGAAAACAAAAAAAGATGATAAATGATATTTCTAAACTCAAATAAATAGATTAACAAGTGTGCCTCCAGAAGAAATAGTATAATTATTATTTAATTATAGATTACCGTTACGATTTTCATTTTACTAAAATAGTTAAATGGATGTATATATATTTTGTAATATATTTCTTAATTAAATTAATAATCATAATACAATAAACATATAATTATAACATTTTTGTAATTAAATCAATAGCAATGATACGATAAATAAGTAATCATGGATAAAAAAACTTTAATTATTTTATATACATACATATATATATATATATATATATATATATATATATATGAAATAAAAAATAATCAAATTTAAAACTAAATTAGGCAGGTGTTTAGCATTTTAAATTTATCCAGAATATCTCACAATTTATTATTATTATTATTATTATTATTATTATTATTATTATTATTATTATTATTATTAGGATTGATTTAGTATCTTTTATATTTTTTTGTATGATTTTTTATCGTTACAAAATATTTTACTGTCTTTTATATTCATGTATATAATTATAATTATTCTATAAAAAAAGGAAGATTAATTTACTATCTTATATTTACTAAAATGCATTATGAATATATAAGTTATAATTAAAAATGATTAGCGTACAATTAACATATAAATTAAGTAGTTCTTTTTAGAAATTATATATTTCACTTGTACAATAATACGAAGGTAAGAATCGTATTTTGAAAACATAAAGATTCTAACACAAGGAGACGTTTGATATATATAAACAAAATTAAAATTTTTGAATATTTAAAGTTGAAATATTTCGTTTTCATATTTGGTATATGTTCCAAAAAATAACATCTTTATTAAATTATGGTTTTTAGGTATTTGTTAAGCATTTTTTTTTTTGGCAAGTTTGATGCTGAAAACGTTTATTTTATATTTTTTGTTTGCGTTTAAAACATAGCATTTTAAAAAGCTACGTTTTTTAATAATATATTTTACTACGTTATCTCGAAAAATTATTCTCGTGTGAATTGAAGAAATATACATTTTTTAAGTTAGAAAATACATTATAAAAAACATCATGTTAATTATTAAGAATGCTGCGTTACATTTAATAATTAAGAAATTTGTATACTATATTTTAAATATAATTATTGGTAACAAGTGAGCGTCACTCCATTTACTTCGTGAAACTTATAACAACCTTATAATAAAGTTAATAACAAACTTAACACTAACGCACTTCATAACATAACATAATTTTTTTTGACACAGGTAATCATTTATAAGGTTGAAAAAAAAATGACAAGAACAAATTGTAATTAACAGTCTCCTCTCCTGTGTTAAATAATAATTATCAAGTGTAACATTTTACAATATTAATTATCAAATGTAAAATTTTACATAAATATATGCCCAATGATAAAATAATTTGTAAATATAATATAAGTAAAATATATTTAAGTAAAAATAATAATTTATAATTTATTCTTGATTCACCAGTTTCATTTTCGTTATTAAATATTATTATCACATAATTTATGTTGTTTTTTTTTCTAATTAATTTGATTTAAAATATTGTTTTTAAAACTAAAAAAAATATTTTGTTTTGTTAAATTTTTTTTAATTTTTAAAAACTAAAAAGTTGTTTTTTTCCTGTTTTTATTAATGTATTATAATGTTTTTATTAATAATTATATTATATAACATTATAAACTTATCTATTTATTTTTAAATTTTTGCCTCATTTTTCATGGTTATTTATATTATTATTTTTATGTAAAATAAATTTTTAAAAAATTATAAAATATATTTGAAATTTATTTTTTAAATAATAGTTTTTTTGAAATTAATCTTTAAAATTGTTTTTGAAACTTAAAAAATAAAACTAAATCAAATAAGTCCTATACCATATTTATATTTTTTTGAAATTTTATTTTCGTTTTTACATTTTAAGATTCAACAAATTAGTCTTAAAAATTATGTTCCCTTCACCTCCGTTATCTAGCTCTCTCACTGTATCCATACATTGCAAGACACCGTTAGCCTTTGTTTGTTTCTATGAATTTACTCTTTGCAATAAAATGAGAAAGTGAAATGGTGTAGAAATAGGTATGTTTATATCTACTGATTTGGTATGATTTATAAAGAAATGTGTGTGGAACCGTAATTGACCTTATGCTGCGAAGAGAAAAAAAAGTGAATTGTGCATGATAAAGCAACATTTCATATATTCTTCCCTTTCATCACTGCATGCGCAAAATTCTGTAATAAACATTAATTGTGCAGCTACCACTGCATCTGGGAAGCACCATTGCAGAAAAATTGTCCAGCTACCTCTGCCGAAGACAGTGAATTACAGTCTCATTTTCAAACTATTCCTTTCCATGCGTGTTGACTATTGTTATGACTTTGTTGATCCTTTTAACAAACCAGTAGACTGTTTCCTAATTATAAATACACCAATTGGTAGGGCCTTTCATGCATTCACAAGTAATTGTATAAGGAGAACTCATCTGTGATTGTGAGGAGCTTTGCAGTGTTGTGAGCGAAGGTAGTTCTGCATTCATCATATGTGACATTTCAGTAAGTCATATCATCAATTTTCTTGCACAATTATTTTATTGATTTAAGATGTCTGTTCATCTGCATAAGCTGAGAAGGTGTGCATTTCTTTTTGAACATGATTGATTTACTATTTAAAGTTGTCATTGATATGAATTTAGCTCAACGTAATGGATTATAACACTGTATAATCGATTGTATTGGAGTCCATCGATTATATGCTTGACGATATAATCGATTATGTTTCTGGTTGTAATTAATTATGAGAAAGCTCGTAATCCAAGTGTTTATAATTCTTTACTGTATTTGATTGTTTCTAGTTGATGTTTGCACCTATATATTTTCTCTTAATTCAGATTTAATTGTACACTTCATTTAACATAAATTTAAAACTTTGTTTGGTTAATTGTGAATTTTAAGACCTAATGTGTGGTATATTAGGAGTTAATTGGCCAAATTATAAGTAAATAATTATAAATAAATTATTGTCAATTTTTTATAGGTATTTAATTTGGGTTAAGATATAATATATTGGATTATAAAGAAATTATTTCAAAAATGACATTAGCATCTTTAGGTAATTAAAGACTTGTGTTAGCATAACCTTAATTTTTAGAGAATTAATTTATGATATAAGTAATAAATTAATGAAAATTATATAATTATTTGAAGGTAATTAATTATAATCATAAATATTTGAATATGTTTTCTGTCATCAATGTTTTAATATTAGTTTTTGTATAGGTTTGAATTTTATACCAAAAATATTTTATGGTTAATATATAAAATAATTTTAATTATATTTTACATAATATTAATATATTTAAATATTATGTATAATAAAAATTAAGTAATATTTTCATATTTAATTATATTATAATTTTTTTACTTAATTTATTCATTACAATAAAAAGATATTTTAGTTATTACATTTTAAAAAAATACTATTATTTAATTTTTTATATTTATTCTTATCAGTCAAATCCCTCAAATCTACTCCTTTTTTTTTAAATCCAAATAACCTCAATTCCCCCTAAATAATATCAAATCCACACTCTTAAATCCCATCCAAACACAAACTTAATCCGTGCAGCATGTGTTAGTTTTCTGTCCTATCATTTTTCAATTTAGTGTAATAGTAATTCAATTAACATCTATCTTTACTATATTAACTAATATTTTTATTTTTAGTTTAATATTTTTTATTTTTAGATAATTATTTAAATTAAAATTAAAAATATTAATTAGTATAATTAAGAGAACGAAAATGTTAACTAAAAAATATTTTAATAAATGATTTAACTATACTGTACATTTTATTTGATAAAATCAATTAAATTTTTTGTATTTTTTTAATTTATTTGTCATTTTCTATTTCCTTTTCTTTAATTTAAATAAATTTATTTTATTCTTTATATTTTTATTTTAACTCATTGACTTTTTTACTCCGTAATTAATTAATGTTTGTGTTGCGGAGAAACCTAAACCTAAATACATCTTATACATTGCTTCTACAATTTTTGTTTTTTGAAAAATAAACCATATCCGTTGAGTAAAAAAAAAAAAAACAAACTTAACATGTAACGATTACCTCTTTTGAAATCATAATTTTATAAGGCTAAATTATATTCTCAAGTTTTTTCATGAAAAATTTTCTTTCTGATAATTTATCCTTAATAGTACTCACATCATTGTTTAATTCCAATTTTTCATCTATGTAGAAATTTAATCAATATCCAGCATAACGATTATTTACTCAAATAATTTTGAAGTAAAGTTTAGAATGAGAAAAATCAATCCACCTACTATTGGCATTAAAATACATTAAATTACAAGAGGAAAATAATTTAAATAACTTCTTACCGGTATTCGCGCGGGAATCTTAAGGCGGAAGTTATAATCTGTCCCATTGTCACGCGTCTCTTCTTCGTTGGTCCACCCTTTCCCTCTGGCGCTCTCAATAACTCTCTACCTTCCATTAGTGTAACTCAGCTCACTACTCTTCCACAATGGCTTCACAAAACCCTAATCAGAGAAATTCCCTCTATCCTCAAGTAATCGACTCTAACCCAGATGCTCCCTCGCATCTCCTCAGTCCCAATCGCTCATCCTCTCCGAAAACCACCCTCTATCCTTCCATTGACTACAACGACCTCGTTGAAAACCTCTTCCCCGAGGATGCCTCCGCAGCTAGCTTCCCCTCTGCGCCGCAGGAGGCCACTGAGGAGCTCCTCCTCCGGATCCCCGGCACCATCCTCAACCTCGTAGATAAGGACTACAGCGTCGCGCTCGCGTCCGGTGACTTCTCCATCATCCGCCTCTGGCAGGGCGACAACGCCGTCGCCACGTACGCGCGCGTCGCCGAAGAGATCCAATGGCCTCTGGCGAAGGACGAGACCGCCGTGAAAGTCGACGATTCGCACTACTTCTTCTCGTTCCGCGTCCCCAAGGGCTCCGATCCCGAGGAGGAGGAAGAGGATGTGCTCAGCTACGGGTTAACTATCGCGTCGAAGGGCCAGGAGGGCCTTCTGAAGGAGCTTGACGCGGTTTTGGAGAGCTGCAGCTGCTTCTCTGTTCAGAGGGTTTCGGATAAGGCGAAGAAGAAAGGGGAGGCTCTGGATGAGACGGTGGCGAAGGAGGTTTCGCCCAAGGATTTGGAGTCGGAGAAGAAGAAGGAGATGATGGAAGAGCGGTGCGCTGCGTATTGGACCACTTTGGCGCCCAATGTGGAGGATTACAGTGGATCTGCTGCGAGGATGATCGCTGCAGGGTCTGGACACGTGGTTAAGGGGATCTTGTGGTGTGGGGATGTAACTGTGGACAGGTTGAAATGGGGGAATCAGGTTATGAAAAAGAAGATCACTCCTGGTTCGCATGCGGAGGTTAGTCCTCAGACCTTGAAGCGGATTAAAAGGTGGGTTAATGTTGTTATTGTCAGTGTCATTGTGATTTCTGTGTCTAAATCTACTTGGGCAGTTGTGTGCCGAATATTTTTCGGGCTAATCTTGTGAAAAATTGGTAATTTACCTTCGAATTTTGAGAATTTGACTTAACGTATTATTACGATTTATTTGTTATAAAGATTTTATATTATCATCAACTAGGAGTATAATTTCTATACATTGTTAGATTATACATCATCAATCAATCAGAAATTACCATTGTTATGGTTTTTATGGAAGTTGTGCTAAAAATAGTTTGTCATGTAATTAGAGTCTACTTTCGATATAACTTTCAAAATAATTGTTACTAGGACTATCAATTTTCAAATGAGTATATGGCAATCTATAGTGGGACGATTGTGTAAAAAAGGCTTTACATTTTTAATGTATTTTAATTACAATTTAATTTTATCTATGGTTAGTGAATTTTTTTTATTATAGTATCATCTGCCTGCCATGTTACTAGTTTTTTATGAATTCTTATTTTAAGTACTTGGTTTAATTAAACTTCAAATAGTATGGTAATATGCCTGTACCCAAAATAATTTAGTATGATGATATGTAATGAGTTTAATTTATATGTAATTCTAGTGTTAAATTTTTTAAGATTTCAACTATTTAGAAATCGTCGCATGAATTTTAAACTAGTTATTATAAAAGTCAACAACTTTTTTAGATGGTTAATACGTACATGTTATTTCCTCATGTATGATTTGAGAAGAGTGTTAATTGTTATTACGCCAGTAGTGATAATTATCAGGGGACAAGCTTCATGTGTTGTGTCACCAGGGGCACTTCTCCGAAAATAAATGTAAATATTAATTGACCTTAAACCTAGCTCTGCCAGTATATTACTATGTCATGTCTATAACCAATGTTTATTTGACGAGGAATATAGACTCAGCTACCTTTTTTATGTTATAAGTTTTTTGTTTTGTTTTACCAGTTCAAGTGATTATTCAATTGACAATTTGGACCTTTTGGTTTGATGTGTCTCTTTTACAGGGTTAAGAGAGTTACTAAAATGACAGAGAAAGTAGCAAATGGTTTCCTCTCGGGGGTCGTGAAAGTGTCCGGAATTTTCACCAGTTCTGTGGTAAATTCAAAAGCCGGAAAGAAATTTTTCAGCTTTCTACCGGGAGAAGTTCTACTTGCATCGTTGGATGGATTCAGTATGTCAGCTATATTATTACTACTAAAATGCTTTAGTTCCTTGTTTTAACCAAATAGCTAAATATGAAATATCTTTCAAATAAAAAAAAGAAAGAATTAGATAACCCTTTGATTTGTGATTCAACTTGCACAATTGTTTAGCCACTTATTTGTAACATATGACTTCAGACGACTTAGAATTTTGTGACGCATGGATGAACCTGTGCGATTTCTTATCATTAACATGGATGATATTAAACCATAGGTCAACTCAATGGGGGGAGTTCCACATGAATAATTGAGGACAAGGTAATTCCTAGAATTTGGACTTTGTCAATTTGTACGGTTGAGTTTGGTCCTAAGTCCAAATTCGAAGAATAATATCACCTCAAATTTTGATAGTTTAATATGATTTTTGGTAATCAAAATTGTAAAAGGGCCAAAATTACAATTTAGTGAATTCTATACATGTATGAATCTAAACTTGCCCATCTTTCAATAAACTTGCGTATATGGCTATATCTTAAGCCAAATAAAATGGTATTTTATGCTTATGTGATGATAGTTGGTTGGAATTACGTTGCGTAATTAGTTTGTTTCATTTTCTGTTTCAATGTGCACAATATAGAAGAATTTGTTTGGTTTGATAAAACATTTTCGATTTTTATTTCTATTTTTCCTTTTCCAAAATAATTACAGAAATGACTCTTGATTACATTTTGTTTCTTGGTTTTAAATGTGTACATAAAATAGTTAAAACAAGGTTTTGTTGTTTTTTATGTATATTTTGTACAAATTTTCGAAAACTGACGCTAGAGGGGAAATGTGACATGTTCAATTATTTATGAAAATAGAAATAGAAATAGAAAATTGGAAGTGTCTTAAATAGATAAATCAGCAGGTATTGCTACAGTTAACCAAATGTCAATAATTTTGGCCAGATGTTACAATCTGTTTGGTCTGGTTGTAACGCAATGATCTTCAGTTTACATTTTCATCCTTGCCACCAGTTTTAGTTGTGTGCTGAATAATATTTTAATGATCATGACTAGCTACCCTAATATTTGTTTATGTTCTATACACTTTAATGATTCTGAAGTTGGGTAGGATTGACGAACATTTAAGTGTAGACCTGGTGTACATTGTTTGAAATTGGATATGGGGATCACAGATGATGATGGCATTGCATTTTCACACGGCAGATTCATGTGCATGTGATTGGTTTTTTCTTTTTCATTCCAATAGAGTTATCGGTAAAAAAATTATAAGATCAAAATATAAATTACAAATTCTAACAAGATATATTCTCACTTTGAGAAAATTATTTATTTTTCTTTTTTAATTCAAACAACCATAAATCTAGATTTAATTTCTAGTGTTTTGCTTTGTTTGTAATTAAATAGAAGAAATAAAAACAAAAAATACAAGTAAAAATAATGTCTTAAATGATAAAATAAGCAAATTCTAAATTTGTGGTTCTATATTTAAATCTCAACTCCCAACAAATGATGATGGCATTGCATTTTCACACGGCAGATTCATGTGCATGTGATCGGTCATTTCTTTTTCATTCAGATAAAGTTATCCTCTTCAATAATAGCATCTTTACCAGATTGTGGAGATACATAAACGTAGTGAATTACTTTTGAGTTTGATCTGCGAGCCTGACAAATTTCTTGAATCAGTGTAACCCAAGATTATATGCTGTTTGATTTGAAAAGACTGCGATAGGCATTTGGGTATTATGGGATGCTTAAGTCCCACATGAAGTAGTATTGAGATATTTGGTAGAGTCTTTAAGTGTTTTGTTTTTGAGTGTGGATTCACTATGTATTCGGGTGGTTATTTGACTATTGTTTTGTATCAAATTTAGTACACACGGTCATTTGCCTCTCTCATCCAACTTCCTTGATTCGTTCATGTAAATATTGTTAGGGCCCTCCAGCTTTGTCTATGATCAATTTTTAGTCATTTTATATTCATTTCACCAACGCTCTTATATTTGAACGGTTAAAATTAGCAAACCATGATTTCGTTGGTTCTTTATTGTTTACCAAGCCAGTTATTACTTGATAGACTGTCCAGTAAAAGTTTGAATTTTCTTATTTGCATACCCCTTGAGTTTCAAATTTCTTGTAAATAGGTAAAGTGTGTGATGCTGTTGAAGTAGCTGGAAAAAATGTCATGTCAACATCAGCGACTGTGACAACCGAGCTTGTCGATCATAGGTAAAGCTTGACATATACTTTATCTAGTGTAATTTGCTATACGTTACGTATTGAATCTGTTGATAGTATGATATTTGCCTTTCTTAAACAAGTATTTTGCTTTTTACTGCTGTGATTAACTGATGATATTGGGGGAGCATACCGCAAACAAAGTAATTTTACACTGGTCTGTAAAATAACCACTTCATGTACCAAGAGTTCTAGATCCGCCTAGTTGGAGTGGGAATTTAAAACTTATTCCATGTGTAATCATCAAGAACGAGGAGATCAAGACTTCTCAAGTATATAATATCCCAGTGAAAATCCTAAAGCTTTATATTCTTCATTCTTTGAGTGATTAGGAATAGCAATGAATATTATGTTAGTTTCTTCACGTTTGCTCTTAGGGCAAGTCAACTAAATTCCATTTTATTTGAATGATTTTGCTTAATATGCCCTCAAATACAATTATTAGATATCACGTTTAGAATGCATTAGTAAACATTAAATGTTAGTTACGCTTTTAAAAAATCTTCAGTTTGTTCCCTAACCATTGCCTTTAGGAAACTATTTTATTTCCATGCCATGCTTTCAGAGTTTTAAGCATAAAATATAGCACGAGCGGAAAGCCGTCGTGCTTCTCTAACAATTCAGAGGTGAATTTAGCACTCTGTATACTGCAGATACGGAGAAGAAGCAGCAGAAGCGACGAGTCAAGGATTTAGTGCTGCTGGTCATGCTTTAGGTACTGCCTGGGCTGCTTTTAAGATTAGGAAGGCTATCAACCCTAAGAGTGTTCTTAAACCTACCGCTCTTGCCAAAGCTGGTGCTAAAGCCGCAGCTGCTGAATTTAAGGGTAAAAAATCCAAGTAATTTATGCCTGGACCTCTTTAATTTAGGTTGTCCATCCTATTATCAGAAACTGCTAATTTGGGTTTTCATCTCCCATTCTTTTCTGAAAGAAAAGGCAGGGAACATCAACGCTTGATCTGTTGTTGTTGATGATATTATCCTTCCTGTTCTCACCGTGTGAATGGGATTTGGATCCTCTCGCTTTCCGATGATTTAGAGACAGATACCATTTGAGAACCCACCATGATTGGTCATGAGAGTCACTCGTTATATTTGAAAGCAAAAATTATACCATATCTTGATACTAGGATCCAAATCGGTGTATGTATACTTGATGTGCCTGTGTATAGCAACTGTATTATTGCTTGCGCTGCAAGAACATACAAAAATGTATGGTGATGAATATTGGAAATTAAAATCAATTTTAGTTCTGTTCGAAAAAACATGTAAGATAATTATAATGTTACATGCTTGATAAGTTTAACTATGCCTCATTTAATCATTGAGACATATTTTTTTTTGTTTGTTTAATGAGGTGTTAGAACTAATTATATTTATGTTTTTGGAAATGAATAAAAATAGGTATAATATTATTTAAATTTTTCTGAAATGTGAGATAAATTCTTAAAGTTTTTGTTTGAATCATCATGTCAATAATTTTTTTAATTCTTGTAGTGATTAATCCTTTCATCAACCTTTCTAAACATCGAGTGTTTTTCGAATTTTAATATGTTCGAATTGTAATTTAAAACTTTGTTTTTCTTATTTTGATATCTTTTGAGTTTTGATCCTAAACAGATCACTTATTTGTTCTGGTAAGAAATTTTTTATTGCGGTGGACGAAAAACACCAAAGAATTTTGAGAAAAAGTAAAAAATTGGAATTGAGAAATTAAATTGAAAATTTAATAAAATGATATCTGAATATGTATTTATAATACATATGAATTTTAGCAATTTCAATTTTTAAAAATCATAAAAAAATAAAAGAGAATTCTAAATCAACAAACCATATATCTATTTGAAAATCTTGAAAATGAAATACCAATGTAAGTGAAATAAACTGAAAACAATATTTAGCCATAAAGTTAGGCAAAAGAATGAATAAATGTTAGATAAGTTAAAATATAAAATTAAAAGCAGTATGATACATGTAAAAGTAGTATAAAAGGTGGAACTGGGATTGTAATAAAATATGATTAAGAATTGTGGCAGTTTTAGGTATAGATTAATTTTAAATGTGTGTAGGCGATTGGAAGTTTAAAAAAACTGAGTGCTCTATTTGTTGTGACTTCACTTACTTATCAATCATTTTCTTCATTCGTTACTTTTGACTTCATCAACTCAAATGCTGTTCCTAATACCCTCCTCGCCTTCTCTGTTCTGTCACTCACATTTCAACCTTACTTCTTTTCTCTCTTTTCTGTACCATCAACGCTGTGAAATAAATTCAAAGGTTATTTTCTGCAAAATTGTCTCAAATATCTGTATACCAACAAAAGAGTTCTTTTAATTATAATTTATTTCTTAGTGTATGAATTTGGTAACACGTTTAGAACAAATAATATAGGAATATTTGATATATCGATTTTAGTAGAACAAAAACTTTGAAATGCTATATATAAATTTAAAAGATTAACCTTGTCATCGTTACGCGAGTTTAAAATATTTTTATGAACTTTTAAACATATTTTATCTTTGAATTGTTTATATATATATATATATATATATATATATATATATATATATATTTTTTTTTTTTTGTCGAACATAGAGTTGGATGGAGAGAGAATGAAATGAGTAATGGGTTATGGAATATGAGCTGTTGCATAAGCTTAATATTTTTATTTTGGTGGCATGGGAGAGTAAGCACCAACTTTAGTTACGATAGCGATGTTTTATTTTAAGATGTTAATGACCAGCTCTTAAAATTTCGATGCTGATAAACTTCTTCAAGTCTTTGTAGCGAATCATATGTTACTTTTGTGTGAAAACTATTTCACCTTCGTTTATATATACATATTGTTAGTATTATGGTGCTTGATTTAGTCCCACATCGATTAGGATTGTGAGATGAGGTTCTCTATTTTGTTATATAAGCAACCCTATGTAAAGTTTGAGATACACACAGAAATAAAAATACTTTCTAGTGTAGTCGTGGACGTAGGCATACATATTTTAGCCGAACCACGTTAAAATTCTTGTGTCGTTTATTTTTCTCTCCTTTATTCTTTCCTTTATTATTGTCTTGTTCCTAACAATTGGTATCAGAGCTATCAGTTGGAAGTCTAAACTTCAAGGAAGGGTCTCTCTCTCAACCACTGAAGCAGAGTATGTAGCTATCTCAGAAGCAGCGAAGGAGATGATATGGTTGAAGAACCTTCTAAAAGAATTAGGAAGAGAACAAGATGGTTCTCCGTTGTTTGGTGACAGGTCAAAGTGCTATTTGTCTTGCTAAAAATCCAATCCTTCATTCCGGATGTAAGCACATTGAATTGAAGTATCATTTTATCGAAACCCGATAAATGATGGAGACTTGAGTTTGTTGAAGATTCCAGTACAGAGAATCCCGCTGATATGTTGACCAAGGCTGTTACAACAACTAAGTTGAGGCTTTGCATTGCCTCAACTGGCCTTCGAGCAAATTGATGATGAAGGCACTACACTAGGTGGTAACGTAAATCAAACTCCAAGTGGGAGAATTGTTAGTATTATGGTGCTTGATTTAGTCCCACATCGATTAGGATTGTGAGATGAGGTTCTCCATTTTGTTATATAAGCAACCCTATGTAAAGTTTGAGATACACACAGAAATAAAAATACTTCCTAGTGTAGTCGTGGACGTAGGCATACATATTTTAGCCGAACCACGTTAAAATTCTTGTGTCGTTTATTTTTCTATATATTTTTCTTGAGATAAGTTCAAAATACCTTTATCTCTATCTCGGGAGATTCTCATACCAAGAATTTGCTTGGCTGGACCAAGATCCTTCATTTCAAAGCTCTCTGACAATTGTTTCTTCAACTTGTCAATTTCTGTCATATTAGCTCCAACAATCAACATGTCGTCAACATATAAGGCAAGAATGATATAGCTATCAACATATTTCTTCACATAACAACAGTGATCTTCTTCACATCTGCGAAATCCTGAGTTTCTCATAAACTCATTAAACTTCTTGTACCATTGTCTCGGTCAAGTTCAGGAACACTAAGTCCGTAGTGCAAGATGTTGATTTTCTAACACACCCTTTCTGGTCTTGCCCTTTTCCATCATTTCTGGGAGTGAATCCAGGCAAACATTTGCAGCCCCCATAATTTTTATTACAGATTCCAAAGCTCCCGCAGTGGTCATGTAGGTCGCACTCGTTATCTGGCCACGACCAGCGCTTACTCCATAGCGAGTCTTCCTCGTTCCACTTGAGAAATTGTATCTCCCCGCTATAATTCATTAACAACCTTGGTTTGTTAAAACTGTTAAGTAAGTTTACTCTATTTGAAATATTTCTGACTGAATTAGTAGACCCGTTGGCGGTGTTCAACAATGTCACGGTTAACGGGTAAGCGCTCGATCCTAACAATTGGTATCAGAGCCAAGGTCACGAGTTCGATTCCTGGTGGGCAATTGTTGAGGGGGAGATTGTTGCAGGTTGCACAATTGTCCGTGGCGGAGGCGGGTGGGCCAAGTCACAATCCAAGAGTGGGATACCTTGTAGGACAATTGCTGAGGGGAGATTGTTGCGGGTAGCATCAATTGTCCTGTGACGAAGGTCAGGTGGGCCGAGTCACAATTGAATCGTGGTGCTTGGGCTGTTAAAGTAAAAAGAGTTGCGCTCTGACTAAAAGCTATAGCTTTTGGCCTAGTGGTAAGCGCTCGATCCTAACACATATAAATCTTTAACCTAAAAACCTCTATATTATAATTTTATTATACCATCATTATCCACTAAACGATAAAGATGAGGTTATGTTAAAATGTGGTGTGAACTTGCATCAGCATACTGATTGCTTGAAAAATTGAGGTCTTCAATAACCATTAATTTTATCACTTGAAGATGAACCAATAAAAACATAAATTTTGGATAAAAACCTTAAAACAACAGTTTTTTTTTTAATGATTCAACTTTTCTAATTCTATATGATAATGTACTTCAATTAAGACTTATTTTATATTGGTATAAAAATTATTCATTGATTCCCTTCGTTGAACATAATCTCCACGATTTTATTCATATTTTGACATTCCCATCAGAATGAGGACGAGTTCTGTTATTGCCATTTAAAAATTCCCAGATATATATATATATATATATATATATCTATATCACTTCGAATTAGGAAAATTTGCCTTATTCTTAAGCCTTTATCACATTCATCGAATTTTATTCCTTCTCTACCTGCCTCCATGGAATATATATAACTAGTTCTAAGTATATTTGACTCAAACAATTCCCACTTTTTATCCACTCTTTTCTCTTTAGTCAGTGCCCCAAGATTTTGCATATCAAGCACAGTTATGGTGGCTGCTATAACACACCAAAAACCTACCTCATTTTTGCAACTTTTTTAGCAACATAGGTGCAATAATAGTAGTAACACTTTTCTCTCTTTGTTTTATAATGTAGGTATAATTTGCTACTTTTATATTTCATTTGATATTTATAAGCCTTTTGGTGTTGGAGTTGAACAATGAAAAATAAAATAAAATAAAGAGGAGATTGATGAGACTCATATTACTCCACGTGAAACTTTTGGGAATCCTCTTTCAAAATCTTAAACTAAAAGTGTAACATCTAATGGATTTTTTTTTTCTCTCTCTTGAAGTTTGCAATCTCTAGTTTTTTGTTTACACCCACAATCATTATTTACAACACATTATTTTGTTTCATTTAGTTTATTTTTAGTTATTCAAACATAATTTTTATGGTAAAGAAAAAAAAAACCCCACAAAGTTATCGTCTAAAGATTATTAAATCTTCGTCAATGCCTCTCTATATTAGTTGTCTTTAAAAGAAATTTTAT